TTTTTTTTTTTTTTTAGGTTCTTCTGCAACGCTTGAGCGAAGATGGAGTGTTGGTATAGCGGTGTTGACTGCTGGGCTTGTTTCGGTACATTTTGAAGAGCGCGTTTCTCAGCATCGATATATTAACTATATTTACTAACTAGCACATACCGTCCTGCCATTGATGGCCTCAGCCCAGTGCAGCTTTTCCCATTTCCAAGGATCGATTACCATGCATGGATATAGGCAGTTAGAACGATCGCCTATGACGTAGTGCTGGAGTCTAAGTTTGTGTTGGCTGTCAGACTGATAGTGTGGGAGTATGGGGGGGACATGGATGGGATATGCACCCCCCATGTTTGGTTCAAAACGCCACGTCCACGGTCTGTGTACCGCCTACTTCCTCCTTGACAAATTGGTTTAGGTCTCGATTCTACCTTCCAGATGCAATATGTATTCTTTTCAAGCGAGTGCAAACACTAAGGATAGGAATGCCAAGCTACAATGTCACTTGTATCACATCAGTCAAAATATATAACTTTCTATAGCCATCCGAAACCTAAAGTCTAAGAGAGAATCTAATCAAGCTGGCAGGATATACCAAAGTAGGAAGGCGGAATAGGAGCCGGATACACTCCCGAGAAGGGGGGTCGCATCTGCATGCCCGTCAAGTGACTGTGCCTAGTAGGGTAGATTCTGAACCAGACTGCTGGGCCACCACCGCCAATTAATGGGTCATCATCTCGTATCCCCGGCAGTAGACCAGTGGTCGGTCCATACCGATTCCTCTTATCTCTTCTATTGCAGCATTGCAAACACACGCATCAAATATATTTTGAATATATACTAGGTATGTCCTCGAGTATGTCTGGACAAAATCGGCAGTGTTCGGAGTAAACCTTGCCAAACAGTTGAACTTACTGTTGGACAAGATCCCTGCTGCAACTACCCGTCGTGCGGTTCCGCGAGAGCAGAAATCCTGGAAAGTCACGCTTTGACCTTGATTGCCATATAACCTAGTCGAACTGACGAATTGGATCGAGATTCCTACCCGGGCTGACTCTGAGCGGGGTATTCCGTTGGTTTTTCAATTCGCAGGTCCTATCTAGGACGAGCTCATTGTCCACTGTTGCATCCCACAGCTCCTGCAGTCGCAGTCGGACTACTACATATGTATATTGGAAGCGTGGGCAGCCTCTATGGGCGTTCTTGATCCTATCACATACACGTGAACTATCGCCCAGGACGACTTCGCGTCCATATAAGCAAGGGCGGGGTCTTTCTGAACGGCTGGCGCAAGGCACCGGAAACTGGTCTCAGCCAGAGACAGTGCTATGTGTACTGTACAGTACTCGAAATTATGCCCAGCAGCTCCATGAAGGACCAGTTAGCGCGACCATGCAACGGCAAGCAAGCAAAGCCTGGGTTTCGCATGGATCAATGAAGCCGGCGAATTGTGAAAACAAAAAAACAGAACAACCCGACACGAGGTTCAGGTGGATGTGCGACCGTTCCTCGACCTTTGACTTATAAAGGATAAGCTTGGCACTAGATTTCATGTCCATCCATTGTTTAGGTTACTCCAGGCGATGATGGACAATTGCAGCTACTAGGTGTTCCCAAGCCGACAAGAACGAAGCCCGGAGATGAAGAAAACAATCAAGAATTGACGGAGAAGAGAACAAGAGAAAAATCCCTACAATTCCGCGTGACATCTGCCATGGAGAAAAAAAAAGTTTCTCGCCACATGTCCCACCCTCGTCCGTGCATTATCTTGGCCCTTCGGAGGAAGTTTGTTGCTGGGAAGTTTGTTGACAGCTTTGAACAACTTGCACTTACGCAGGCCAAGGTGCGCTACTAAACAGGAAAAGCTGGCGGTCTAGCTCTGTCTTGCTTTGCTATGTGTGACATTACAGGCGGGTCTTCAAGGCCTAGACTTGAGCGATAAAGATCCTAGCAATCTGGCGGGAGTTTAGGATTTGTCTAACTGGTGACAAGAAATGTCGGAGGTTGGAGGCCCAAGCACGGCAGCTGAAAGTCTGCAATCAAACCGATAGAACTGATATCATTTGACCCGGGAAGGTAATCTACCCATCATGGTGGGCCGGTTCTTTGACAGTTGACATCGACATTATCTCGACGGACACGTTGTCCTTGCTAGCCACGGGAGCAGCCCCAAGCTAGCATTGACCAGGATTGACAGGCTGTGCGTTGGTGGTGGTGGTGGTGGTCGAGATCGAGGTAGATTTGGGGGGTTAGCATTTGTTGCGTGGTGGCCCGAAACGCGGCCTGCTGCTCATCATGCTTAATTCAGCGCGATTTCCTCCCCGAGTCCGATCGTGTCATCGTAGGATCATATCGAGGACGGGTTGGATCATAGACTCGACTTTTCCACTCCTCGATTGGATGTAAACAATCGGTCTGTGTCAGGCGCATGGCAGAACTGTGGCTGAGGAGTTTCTTTACATTGCTACCGGGCCGTACCAAACCGCCCTCTTCCAACCACTCACTTGTGGATTTTGACTTCCGGTACAGCAATAGGGCTAATGTGGTAGTGCAAGCCCATCGCATGGTATAGACGGACTTGTCTGTCACAACAAGTCCGCACCCTGCTACAGCACGCAGTGCATGTGCACTCTGTAGCGTGGCTCACCAGCCACAGTGAAAGGACCATGAGGGGGCGGTGCAGGTGGGGAAGCTACCGGGGGACTAAATACCAGATCGAGTCTAGCTTGCATTTTTACCAGACCAGCGATCGGAATTCTTGACCCAAAGTTGCGGATGGTTCGTCACCATGGTTCCATCCGTTCCCATCTTCCATTCTCGGTCCCCCCCCCCCCCTTTTTTTTCCAACTAGGTTTTGGGTTTTTCCTAGGCTTTGTACAGAGATTTAGTGTGGTAGGCGGTCGGACGGTACTCAGGATTCACGGGTCCAATTTACTTTTCGCGCCTAATTCATCCAACCCAACAATTAAACGAAGACAGGCTAGACAAGCTAACACCGCACCAGGCGGCACGCTAGGGGCGATCTATTGGAACAAATCATCCACTTGCCTCGGAATTCTTTTTCTTGTGACAAGCTACGTACCGAGTGGTAAGGACAACGAGGGGCCGCTCAATAATCTGTTTGCGGTGTTCTGCAGCAGCCTGGAGGTGGGCAGCCGCAGTGTTGGGTGCAAGCCGAGACGACATGAATTCTCTTGCAACACATACGAAAATCACATCACCAGTTGCTCCGTGTTTGACATGGGGTGATTCTTCAACTGTCCTCTTGGCTTGGTCTCATCATGACGCGGTGTGGCTGAACGAGCTGAAAGGCTGGAGATGATCGGCATTCGCCACTACGTGTACTACGCTGTAGTAGTTTGCTCAGGACCAAAAGTCAAAATCCCCTTGGAAACCCCAGCGGCCAGCGTCATCGACTCTCTGTGATCCATGTCTGCGCGATCGCTGGTTGTGCTCCTCACTCGCTTTTGCCTGCTCGGTGGGGAGGGACAATCGCAGCGCCTGCTAAAGCTGGTTTAAGTCTCCAGCTTCATGATCATATCTTTTTCACTTTTAGCCCACCGAACGCGCCTTGAAGGCCTCTTCGTTGACTATACTTTTAACAATTTTTTAACAAACTAAATATTAGTCAATACCTCCACGGTCGGCGGTACCGAAATCTGTGCGCGAGAACTAAGCAACTTCTTCATTCCTAGAGAACCAATTGGAATGCGTTAAGCGTGCTACTACTGAGTAACAGCTTTGTTCATTGATTGTTTTTGTGTTTTGCCTTACGTCGAAACTCGAATGATCCGACTTGAGCGGGGAAAGAGAGAAAATTCAGCGCAAAAAAGCGTGTGTTGAAGTGGCTCCCCCTATCGCTAAGCTTCGGGTTCCTTGAGTCTATCTCATTTTACTTTGTCCCCTCCTTCAAACAAATACTGTTGGCCTTCCCCGTCCCCCAATCTTCAATTCTTTTCATCATCTCTTCCCTCGCTTTCATCCCATCTCATATTGCGATCCATCTCTATTCGGGGTCTTTTCAATCTATCAAGCGAAGAAGACCCTGTGTTAGCCTACTTCCAACCCTCAGTACACGCGGCCTTCCACTGTCGGGTGTGATTGCGATCGCCCCACTGCGCTCTAATAGGGGGGCATCATGGCCATCACCGATGCAGGCCTTTTAGGCCTCCGTCATTTAGGCGGGCGAGTATGTTTTCTCGAACTTCGCGATATCATGTATCGCGTTTCCTACATAGAGAATGAACGTGGTTAACCTCCTTTTAGAGCACCGATAATCCTCAAGATGCCTCCAGTTCGGCTTCGGGCCTGGTCACCACCTTGGTGCCATCCTTGCTGGCGGCCGTCGCCATGGTGTCCATTTTCATCATTCTGCGTCGCCGTGAGCGTCGAATGTACATGCCACGAACCTATGTAGGCGTCTTGCGACCATCTGAACGGACACCTGCGTCGCCGACTGGATTGTGGAACTGGATCAAACACATGTACCAATTACCCGACGAATACGTTTTGCAACACCACTCGATGGATGCGTACCTCTTGCTCCGGTTCCTGAAGACCGTTTCTATGATCTGCTTCGTGGGCTGCTGTATTACGTTCCCCATTTTGCTGCCGGTCAACGGAACCGGCGGTGCTGGAAAGGAGCAGTTGGATATCCTGAGCATGTCGAACGTCGCTTCAAACAATTATGGACGTTACTTTGCGCATTGCTTTGTCGCATGGATTTTTATCGGTGAGTGCAGCATGAGACAGCGCCAGGCATGCCAGTGATTCATTCTAACTCCCAATTTGCTTAGGTTTTGTGTTCTTCACAATCACCCGCGAAAGTCTCTTCTATATCAACCTGCGCCAGGCCTACGCTCTTTCTCCTGCTTATGCCAGTCGTTTGTCTTCGCGTACCGTGCTGTTTTCTGCCGTCACGGAAGACTACCTTGACCGCGACAAGATTCGTCGGATGTTCGGCGTCAACAAGGTTAAGAATGTCTGGTTGACAACCGATACCAGCGAATTAGAAGAGAAGGTTTCTGCGCGCGACGACGCGGCGATGAAGCTAGAGGGCGCGGAAACGAAATTGATTAAATTGGCAAATGCTGCTCGCCTCAAGGCCCTCAAGAAGCAAGGAAACGTGGAGGATGGCCCCATCTCTGGAGATGCTGCGGGCGAGGAGTCGGACGGAGAGTCTGGCTCTATCGCAGCCCGCTGGGTTAAGCCTTCGGACCGTCCCACTCACCGGCTCAAGCTTCTTATCGGCAAGAAAGTGGACACGATCAACTGGGCAAGAGCGGAGATCGAGCGTCTCACGCCCGAAATTGAGGAGCTTCAGGCCAAGCACCGCGCGGGCGAAGCGAAATTGGTTTCTTCGGTGTTCGTCGAATTCTACGCTCAGGCAGACGCTCAGGCGGCTTTTCAGTCCGGTACGCGCATTTCCTCGTTCTAGATTGTCTCTCTGGACGCTAACATGTACCTGCAGTGGCCCACAACCTTCCCTTGCATATGGCACCTCGGTACATTGGCCTCGACCCGACCCAGGTCATCTGGTCAAACCTGCGTATCAAGTGGTGGGAGCGTATCATGCGCTATGCCGCAACCATCGCTTTTGTCTGCGCTATGATCGTCTTCTGGGCTATTCCGACCGCGGTCGTCGGTTCAATCTCGAACATCAACTATCTTACGGACAAGGTTCACTTCCTGAGCTTCATCAATGACGTCCCGAGCTGGATCAAGGGTGTTATCACCTCTTTGTTGCCTACCGTCTTGATGTCCATTCTCATGGCTCTTGTCCCCATCATCCTCCGCCTAATGGCCAAGCTCGGTGGTGCGCCCAGCTTGGCCGCCGTGGAATTGACCACCCAGAACTTTTACTTCGCATTCCAGGTCGTCCAGGTCTTCCTGGTGGTCACTCTTGCGTCATCCGCCTCAGCTGTTGTCACCAAGATCATTGACAAGCCCACTAGCGCTGCATCCTTGTTGGCGAACAATATCCCGACCGCTTCCAACTTTTACATCTCATATATCATTCTGCAGGGCTTGTCCTTCAGCGCCGGTGCCCTGCTGCAGATCTCAGGATTGATTCTTGGCAAGGTTCTTGGCAGGCTGTTGGATAACACCCCCCGCAAGATGTACAAGCGCTGGTCCTCCTTGTCCGGTCTGGGCTGGGGTACGGTATACCCAGTCTTTACTCTGTTGGCTGTCATTGGTAAGAACCCTCCGCATTCTCAATATTTCAAATACACGAAGTCTTTTGACTGACGCGAGACCGCTCAATAGCCATCATCTACTCCTGTATTGCGCCTCTTGTTCTCGGTTTTGCAACCATTGGTCTTTACCTCTTCTACTTCGCCTACCGGTACAACATGCTGTTCGTGTCGAATGCCAATATCGACACTCAAGGTAAAACCTATTACCGGGCTCTGCAGCAACTCACGGTTGGCTGCTACATTCTCAACGTTTGTCTGATCGGACTTTTCGCAATTGGCGCTGCTGCGGACACCATAGCTACCGGTCCCTTGGTCCTGATGATCATTTGCCTTGTCTTCACTGTCCTGTATCATGTCTCTCTGAACAGCGCCTTGGCACCCCTCATTGAGTACCTGCCCAAGAACCTTGAGGCCGAAGAGGAGGCTCTTCTGGCGCATGAGGCCCGGTTGAGCTCCTCCGCTGAGGAGCCTTACAGTGACAAAGCTGCTGCTGGCAATTCTGCAGATGCCGGTCGCAACAGCAGTGTGGCCAATGTTGACTCCGCGGAGAAAGGCTTGACTGCCCCCGCTACGGAGCAGCCTAAGGCCAACTTCCTGGTACGTTATCTTCGGCCCGACAAGTACAGCGGCTACGCACAGCTGCGCCGCTGGGTCCCGACCAACGAGAACACCAGCTATGACCCGGTGGTCGAAGAAACTGCCTACTTCCACCCATCCATCAAGTCTCAGCCCCCGCTTCTCTGGATTCCCCGTGACGAGTTGGGTGTCAGTCGCCAGGAGGTCAGACACACCTCGAAGGTGATTGAGATCACCGATGAAGATGCCTGGCTGGATGAGAAGAACCACATCCAATGGAACACGGACAAGGGCACTCCTCCTGTCTACGAGGAAAAGATCTACTACTAAGGGTCGAGCACAAATCCTGCGATGCACGGCGGTGACCGGCTCCCACACAGTTACGATCGAGGGCCACCATCCCGATGGTGGAACCAAGTTGACCTAATAATTGATACCCATGGATCGGTGGAGTTTGGGCTCCATGACCCATTTGTGATACCCGCGATAATATGTCTGGAATAATGGTAATATCAACGAGTTGTGAGTGTGTTATATCTTGCATGGGAAATGAGATCTGATATGCTTTTTATGACCTCGGCAAGCATGTGGCCTGCCTAAAATCATAAAGGCAGATTCCTATCTCTGATTTTCCGATGTCACGGGACGGAGCAGTTTCCCACCGATGTACTGTACCTACAAAAGCCTCACAGGCTTGTGCATTTATTCAATTCAACCGCACTTTTTACTTTCACTATCTTTAAGCCCTACTGGTTTAGACTGTGCCCCGGAGAAGATGTGGAGGTGTCATGGCAAGAAATGAACTCCGATCTTAACCTATGGACCGGACGAGTAGAAATTATGACTTAAGATCAATCCACAGGATTAGCAATTTCAGAGGGGAAAAATTAGGGCCAGATCCATTTGACCGCCTATCTAGGTGCTGATGGCCATCTGCCAGGCGCCCTACTGAGAACCCTGGAATGAGGTTCTCCACAGGTTCCTGCCTCTGCCCTGCGTTGGAAGGTACCTTTTTTTTTGAGGTAACCTTGTTTGATACTGTATCCAGGTAAGGTACCGACTGGCTTCCTGAGGCACTGGGAAAAAACGCCCGTCGTGAAGGAACCACCGAGCTTATGCGTGTTTCTTTTAAACCAATCGGAAGGACTACCTGAGCCGTAGTCGGACCCGGTTCGGCCTTTCTGCAGCCCCTTCTGCGTCCATGATTGGACGTAGAAAAGACAGTCTCGGCCGGCAGCGGAGCCGCTTTACCCCGTTGGGTTGCCACTTGGCCAGCCTGGAGCCAGTTCATACATGAGGTATTCCATGTTCTACTAGGCTTGCGTCTCAGTGCTGGCGCTTGCGACCGTTATTAGGGGCCAGAAAACGGTTCAATTGCAATTTAGCCAGGGTCTGGCCGGCCAAACTAGCAATTACTCGTTAGTAGAGATTTGTTTGCTCCTCAGTGTGCTATTTTTTTTTCTCTCTCTCGCTAATCTTCTTCCTGCCTTGTTTCGGTTGTCATTCCAAGTTCCACTGGTCAGATTGCCAACTCCCGAGACAAAGGATTGACTTCATTGAGCGGTTGACACTTGACCCTCTTTCTTTCCCGATCGTGGCTGGCGTCAGTGCGTGCGCTGTGCCCTTATCGATATCGGTTTTATCGGTCTCTCCGATCAAGGAATAGTGACGATTACAGCCAACCCACCCCCTCTCCCCTAAACGATCCTGGCGTGTGAACTATGGACTGAGCGTCGTCATCGTCATCGGTCGTATCCCTGTTGTCGCGCTTGTGTTTCCTTGACGACAGTACAGTACTTTGACCTCACACAGGAAGAAAAGGGTCAATCGCCGGTTGTACTGTACTATACATACATAACATATAACAAAAAAGTCCGTGTCGCTGGTCGAGCCAGCCAGATCTCTACCTGCCCATCGATCGACATGCCCCGCAATATCCTCATTGCGGGCGCTGGCATTGCCGGACTCGCTTGCGCCATATCGCTTGCGAAGGAGCTGGGCTCCTCCACCCCCGATCTGAAGATCTCCGTATACGAGGGAGCGGCGGGACCTTCCGCCTCTGGAGGCGCTATCAGTTTGACTCCCATCGCGCAGAACTACCTACATCAGCTGGGGGTCTTGGCCGAGCTGAATCGGATGGGCAATGATGCGGGGATCGAGGTCGACATCATCGAACTATTTTCTTTACGGTCTGGCCGTCGATTGGGCCCTCTACGGTTTACCGACGAGAAGGGACGCGGATACGGGGGCTACAAGGGCCGTCGAGTGATGCGCAGTGCGCTGTCGCGTGCGATGTTGGCCGTCATCCGCGGTCTCCCGAATGTGTCGGTCTCTTATGACGCGAAAGTGGTGGGCGGCAGTACCACCGATGACAGCGTAACGCTCAAGTTCGAGAACGGAGAAGTCGTCACCGGAGACCTCCTGCTCGGCTGTGACGGGGTGCATTCCATCACTCGAACGCAGATTGTCGACCCAGGCAATCGATCAGAGTATACGGGGATCTCCTTTATTCAGAGTATCGTGGATGCGCAGGAGTTCACCCTGCCGATGCACTTTGACCAGACCGCGGTGCATTTCACCCGCCATAGTTCGTTGCTCACCAGCTACTGTGACCCGGCACGCGAGAAGATCTTTGCTGCTGCCATCCTGCGTGTCAACGAGCATCTCATCGAACGATATCAGGCTGCATCCACGAATCCCCAATCCGCAGCCAGTATGAAGATGTCCATTCGATACCTGGTACGCACACAGTTCGGCAAGTCCACTCTACCCAGCATCCGAGAGCTGGTCGATCGCATCGAAGACTGGGCGCTCTACCCGGTGTACCAAGTACGCCAGCGCGGAAAATGGTACAAAGGGCGCGTTCTTTTGCTGGGAGATGCTGCGCATGCGGTATGTCGCCTCTTCTCCCAATGTGCTCTGCTTTACGTGTTCTTAAACCCCCCTGTATCCCAAATATACTAATCATTTCACTCATTTCCTGGTGACATAGATGCCCCCTCGTGACGAATCCGCCGCCTACGCCATCGAAGATGCTCTCATCTTCTCCCAGATCCTCGCCCAGCACCGCGATGATAGCTGCCCCCTATCGACTCTGTTTCAGGAGTACGAGGCTGCTCGCAGGGTCCTCGTGAACAAGGCCTTCGATGCCTCGCGCAGATTGTGGCAGAGTGATCTCGACAAGGGGCTGTTCCCGGGCCATGTGCGGGATCTCATGTCGCCTGTGCATGTGTCCTCGGCGACTTCGTCGGCGCCGCGCGGGACAGCGGCGACCCATGAAAGCTTCTCGGATCTGTCGGTGTACTCGTTGACCAGGGAGTTCCAGGGGGAGATTGAGTCTTAGAAGGTGGGGCTGCATGTTATGATTGTTGTTGATTGTCGGGATGCCATGGATGATGGTCAGTGGGGTGTCGTTTAAGGTTGCTGCTCTTGAGGAGTCTCTGGTCCAACTTCAGAAGGAGTCATGGAGTTATCGTAGAAGGATTTAAAGTTGACTTTCGTCTTTGTCGATAACAGACTACTAATACCTTTAATCTCAGAATGTATTATGCAAGCTATATCTGAGTATGACATAGCTTTTCAACGAGCGAAGCAAGATGGGTAGCATGGCTGGAAGATCGGATCATCAAAGGATATTTAATCTCATGTAGGAAAACTGAATACTAGTCTGAGTCAATCACAACAGCTTTGCAGCATGCCCAGATTCTTGCTTCACTATCACTTTCCCTCCGACTCGCATATCCTCCACCTTCCTGAGTTGATGCTACGGTACTTTAGTAGGTATCTGAAACATGCAACGATGAAAGGACTTACCCAATCGGGTTATATCGACTTATCTTCACGTGACGGCACGGCTCCCGGCGTGGCGTCACCGCTTTGGCCTCCGAGATTTTCTGCCGCGAGTTTTTTCTTATCCCGACGGAGAAGTTTTGTTTGAGTTATTGAGCTTCCATCCGCCCCCTTCTGCAGCCATCGTTCTGCATCCTTTCTTCCCCCATCTCTTTCCCCTCTCTTTCATCGATTGTGAATCGAGTTCCTATATACCAAATCTCTCATTCATATTTGTTTTTGTTTCTGTTTAATTCATCATGTTGGGTGCTTTCCGCCGGGCTGGTGTGTCCCACGCGCTGCGAGCTTCTCGAGCTCTCGCCGTGAAGACGACTTCGCAGCGCGCTGCTCAATGGATCATTCCTTCAGCTACCCCAATCACGCAAACTCTCAGCAGATCATTATTCCACACGTCTCCCGTTCGCTTCTCGGTCTCTGCCGCCCAGGAGGCTGAGAATGCTGTTCCTACGACCGAGTCCGAGGAGCTGGTCAACTTCAGCCAGTTGCAGGGCAAAATCGATCCCCAGTTTGTCGACAACATCACGAGAAGAATGAAGATCACAACCATGACCGATGTGCAAAGCAAGACCATTGCTTACACGCTAGATGGTTCTGACTGGTGAGTACACTTCGTTGCTTTCGCCTCGCTCTTGTCTTCGTCTTGGAAGAATGATAGACTAACTTTTTTTCTCTTTTCATCAGTCTTGGTCAAGCGAAGACTGGAACAGGTAAAACGCTCGCTTTCTTGGTTCCTGTTGTCCAGAAGGTGCTCGCCGGTCTGCCGAAGTCGCGATTCGCAAAGCAACAGATGAGGGCCGGGGACATTCGCGCCATCATCATCTCACCCACCCGCGAGCTGGCTGAGCAAATCGCCACTGAGGCTCAGCGCCTGGTGGCCGGAACCGGTGTTCAAGTGCAGACTGCCGTGGGTGGCACACAGAAGGCCATGCACTTGAGAAAGTGCCAGAACGAGGGTTGCCACATCCTGGTCGGTACTCCCGGCCGTCTGTATGACGTTCTGTCCAGCCCGTACTCCGGTATCCGTGCTCCTAATCTCTCTGCTTTCGTTCTGGACGAGTGCGATCGTTTGTTGGACGAAGGTTTCTCTCAAGATATCCAGCAGATTGCGGAGCTGCTGCCTGACCCCCTCAAGGTCGATCGCCAGACTCTGATGTTCTCCGCCACCATGAACCGTGATGTGCTCCGCTTGGTGAACACCATGATGAAGCCTGGATTCAAGAATGTTAAGACCATCGACGAGAACGAAGCCCCGACTCACATGTCCGTTCCCCAGAGAACCGTTATCATGAACGGTTATGAGAATGGTTTCGCCAGCATTCTCGAGATGGTGAAGAACTATCGCACGAACTACCTGGCGAAGCGCACTGAGGATCCGGAGCTCCGTCCTTTCAAGGCTATCGTCTATCTGAACACCACCAAGTTGACCAACTTGGCTTTCCAGATCTTCGACCGGCTGCTCAACGTCCCCGGAGACTTCCGCAGTGGCCATCCTTTCGGCAACATGCCGTTGTACGAGATTCATTCCAAATTGACTCAGGCTGCAAGAACCCGCACTTCCCAGCAATTCCGTGCTGCCAGGGAGGGTATTCTTTTCTCTTCTGATGTCACGGCCCGTGGTATGGATTACCCCGACGTGACTCATGTCATTCAACTCGGCTGCCCCCGGGACCGCGAGACCTATATCCATCGTTTGGGACGGACGGCCCGTGCCCACAAGAAGGGTGAAGGATGGCTCTACCTGCACAAGGACGAGAAGGTGTATGCACAGTCTAAGTTGGCTGGTCTGCCGCTCAAGATTGACAGATCTCTCGAAACGGCGACCAAGGATATGGTTAACGAGGAAACCAATGAGCACATTGAGCAGATCAAGAATGCCGCTCAAGACATCCACCCCAACGAGCGGACGGAGGCAGTCACCACCTTTGGAAACCACGCGGAGGGTGTTTTGGGCCGGTACGCTATGGAGGGTATGAAGAACTTTGCCATTCACGGTCTGGGCCTCAAGGAAGCCCCCTACTTCCGTGGTGGTAGCTCGAGACCATCTGGTCGCTTTGGCTACAAGATGTCGGGCGGTGGTGGCGGCGACTATCGTGGTAGTTATGGTTCTCGTGATGGCTCCGGTTCGCGCGGTGGGTTCGACCAGCGCGGCTCTCGCGGCTCTCGCAACAACTACGGATCTCGCGATAACAACCGCTCCCGAGGTAACTACGGTTCTCGCGATAACTACGGTTCTCGCGACAACTACGGCTCTCGCGATAACCATGGCTCTCGCGGTCGCGGAGGTGTGAGTGATTCCATGTTCGGTGTCTAGATGCATCATAGCATCTTCTTGCCTCACGGATTCTCGGTCATGTCGTCTTTCTGCCATTGGTTCAGGTGTTTCTTTTTTTTCATGGGGAGCCTAAAATGCTTTACTTGTTGACATGTAACTCTACTCTAGATACCAGATGACATAATTCATTCTTGTACAATACAGCTGTTCAATACTCGATCTCCATTCTCTCGTACATAACATCACGAACCCTCCCATGTAGTTAGTTGCCTTGACGTGGTGGAATTAAGAGGAGCTGACTCTTGTGATATGTGTCTAATACAGCCTCCTGCATCGAGCAAAGCCAGTCGTAGCGCGGCAGAGGGACGTTTGCTAGGTACTTAAGCATACATCCTTCCCACGGCCACCTTCCTTCCAGCCGCGACTGATGCGCTTGATTTCCCTTGTACTCTGTCTCACAATTTTCACATGATCCCCGAAGGTTTGACTTCCTTTGAGCCCATGGCTCTTTAACGGTGCTAGCTGGGTCATAGAGTAATGGACACGCACCATCTCAACCCATTTGATCTGATTGCCACAATGCTCGCCCCATAATAGCTCCGCAGCCCAGCGAAGCGGTTTCGTGCATCTTGTATGTTACACAGCCCAAGTCGGCAGCACATGCACATGCACATGGTTAACTTGCAAGCCACGTTGTACTGTACAGTACAGTCCTCTTGACGAAAATAGAACAGGAAAGAAGAGAAGATTCTCGTCCGGGCGGGACATGAAAGGAAAAGCACACGAAGAAAAATTAATGGGTCCATTCATTAGAGTGGTTGATCAAGTTCCGACCCCCGATCTCCGACTCCCGATGTCTCTCTCGTTGGGACGGGAGGATCCATCTCTTCTTCAAGATCGATGGGGGTACCGTACGTATTCTTTTCTGTCCGCTCGAGAAGATCCTTATGATATGGCAGGTGCTCGATTCAGTCTACTTGCTGTTGTTGCGATTGTTGTTCCTACCGTACATGCAGACCAATGCCACGTTGTAGGATCAGGTACCAGTACTACATAGCGTAGTTGGTGGGGTGGATCTCGGAGATTACGACAACGTGGTGTGGTTGTTTGTCTGTCCATCTTACCAGGATCAGTCAGCCTTACAGCTAGACCAGGTTACATTCTTTAGCAGCGGAAGAGTCGTCTGCCGGGCCAGGAGGAGGAGGAGGAGGAGGAGGAGGGAGGGGGAGAAGACAGACCCATGAAGTGGATACCTTTTACTGATTGATAATTTGATTGTGGTTCGAGACTTCGGACTGGGTCTGGTTCTTCCTTGCAAGTTGCAAGTTATAGACTAAGGTACCAGCCACGAGTTTTACTAGACCCATCTCGCTGCCCGAATTCTGCTCGCTTATGCATTTTGTTCTGCCATGTCGTGCATGTTGTGCGGAGGGGTTGAGTCTTATCGGAAGGTATTTTGTTTGCTCTTCGAGGATTATTGTGTAGGAAGGTCCTCCAATGCGATAGCTTGTCCCTAAGTTGGGAAGACACAGACTGAGCTCATGCTGAATCTTGAAGGTAGTCAAGGACAAGGGGATGTACTGTACTGTAGTTATGGCCCATGGGACAGGGACTCCACTGATGGGAAATTTGCCCTTATCTAGATTAAAAATGTCTCGGAGCCGATCCGGTCCGACAACGGACGATGCGTCATTCGCATTAATTTTTATTTTTCGCGCTGCCTCCGACCGGCCCAAAAGCTCCCCGCGTTGATTGCTTTCCCTCTTCAATTATTCCCTCAACACCCGAGGTCTTTTTCCCCCCTCCACCTCCCCCCCTAAACCTCTATTTCTCAAGTTTTCTTTTTCTATGGATTCCTGCCTGGCATGTGTGTTTTGTATCTCTTCCAGGAATGAAACATGAGCTCTAGGACTTTGACGGGGCTAAGGACTGCAAAGTCCTCGCGACTCAAGGTATGTCGTTCGGCGCGAACAATGACTGACTCAGAGGGCCATGGTGGATGAGTATGTGGATAGCGGGCTGACTTCGCTCTCACTGCCCACACAGCAAAACAATGCTTCTTTGAACAGCAGCAGCAGCCAACCACCAGTTTGGTGTCCTTCTACAAGGAGAAATATCTCGTCTACAACCCAACGACGAGTTCAGCAGAGCGCCGAGTTCTCGTCCAGCAGTCGGAGCTATGAGCGACTGGGCCGCCGCGCCAAGGAGAAGTTGCTGGATCGGGTATGCGATATACACCCACCTCTTTTCTTGGCCCTGACACAACAACCTTTCCCCACGCAATCGCAAAGCTGACAGGGCTAGGACTTCTTTCTTAGTTTGTTGAACTCCGCGTCGACGAAGCGAGAAGCCAAGTCTTACCTTGCTCGTCTCAAGGCCCAGCACCAGATTAGCGCAAACCAGGCAGCACCCAAATCCCTCGTGACAGATGTGAAGATCCCCTCTGCGGCTATACCCTCATCAACCGGGGTCAACCTGGGTTCGTTCTACGGTGCCTCCCGGTCGGTCTACGAGTCGCCGGTCTTTATCCATGATACCACCCCTAGTCCCCCACCGCCGACCATCACCCAGCGGCTCCATCTGGCCCTGATCAAGATTACCACCCCGCAACTCCTGGACGATTACACAATCAATGGCGTGGCGAAAACCTTGTCCCAGCTGAACCGTCTGGGGATGGCATGCTGTGTAGTGGTCGACCCGGGCGCGGGCGATGATCTCAATGCGCTGCGGAAGATCGCTGCAGAGCAGGCCGATCGGCTGTCGTTGGCGGTCGACGCTCAGCCGGATTCAAAATCTGCCCACATTGACTCGGTACTGTCTATCTCAACGACGAAGCCACCGGCTCTAAAAGTGTCCTCGCGGAAAGTGCTGCTTGGCCCGTTGCGGGATGGCCAGATTGTGGTTGCGGCCCCTGTCGCCTACACCGAGGAAGTGCCCCGGGCTGTCGCCGTTACTGGCAACGATGCCATCCTTGCATTGGCAAAGGAACTTGCGGGACTGGCGACGGTGCCTGATCCTGATGAAGATCCTCTGCTCACGGCTCAGAGGATCAAGGACCTGCAGGCAGAAGTTTCTCTGGATCGTGTCATTCTCTTAGATCCTCTTGGGGGTATTCCCGCGCTCAGTGGCCCTCAGTCGTCCCACGTCTTCATCAACATGGAGCAAGAGTTTGGCGATATCCTACAAGAGTTGCGTCAAGTGCGGCAGTCCGCATTGTCGGCAGAGAAGACCCCCCCTGCGGGACAACCCGACTGCCCGTCGATTCCCGCTTTAGAAGCGAGTGCTATCGATGGCCATCTCGAGAACTTGCGGCTAAGCCAAGCGGCACTCGCATTGCTACCATCGGCCTCTTCCGGAATTATCACTTCGCCTCTCGAAGTCGCAAATTCAGCTCAATCCTCTCACGGTCTTGCGCCAGAACTTTCTGCGGTGGGTACGCGTCGGCAGCGAAACCCTCTAATCCACAATCTCCTAACCGACAAACCTCTACTTTCTTCATCTTTGCCTCTGAGCCGCCGTGCAGCTATGCACGGACGCCCAGCCTCTGTTACTACACCCGGCCTACATACAACATTTGTCAAACGAGGCATGCCTCTGACTTTGATCCCGAACCCGCGAGTCCAGGTGTGGACTGCACAAAATCGCCCGCAGCTGGGATTGGACGACCCATGCATCGACCTTCCGCGCCTGGTTCATCTGATTGAAGACTCCTTCAATCGCAAACTTGATGTGCAGGACTACCTGAACCGTGTCAATGGCCGTTTGGCGGGGCTGATCATCGCTGGAGAATATGAAGGAGGAGCCATCTTAACATGGGAGCTGCCGCCTGGGGTCGAGGATGATGGAAGCGAGGCGAGTCAGGCACGCATGGTTCCCTATTTGGATAAGTTCGCGGTTTTGAAACGCAGTCAGGGCGCGGGAGGTGTGGCAGATATTGTGTTCAACGCGATGGTGCGGTCCTGTTTCCCGAATGGCGTGTGCTGGCGCAGCCGCAAGGACAACCCGGTGAACAAATGGTATTTTGAGCGCTCGCAGGGAACGTGGAAGCTGAACGACACCAACTGGACCATGTTTTGGACAACGCCTGGATTGGTGCAGGATTCGCAGAGATTCCAGGACTACGAAGGAGTGTGTCGCAGCATTCAACCGAGTTGGGCGGATGACATTGGGGTGGTTGACTGAGTACAAACCCTCTCGCCAAAAAATGAGGATTGCACAGCGTGTATAGATCTACTAGATACTATCGGAGTATAAACCCCCGGCTGTTCGGGTCTCCACGACTTCACTTGCAAATGTTGTTAAACCTTGAAGTATGAATTGTATGGAGGGTATAGCGTTGATACCGCCCAATACACAGGGGGCTGGATGAGTCAGAGATTGGCCTGCATCGGGACCCTCCGTTCTTACTCAAAGCGGGAAAATGACAATACAGCTCCGGTATCGTATCTGTCTGGAGTCGATCTCCCGGCATCGGCGGTGGCGGGAGCCAATCAGGGCAAGGATAATCAAAGGGCGACTAAAGGTCGAGAATAAGAATGACTCCTTCGCCTCAAGTCATTTATCTACCTTTTTCTTTTCCTTCTTTGTGCAATTGTTCTTCACAGTATTCTCCTGCAAAGAACAATGGTGCGGCAGCTTGTTTGGCAGCGGGCCTCCGCCTCTCAGAGGGTATGTGGTGCACTCTTGAATCCTCCTTCTTTATCCTCAAGCGATAGATAGATAGGAACTGACACACTACTCTCCACTTTCCAGTTGGCCCCGAAGTGCCTCTCCCCGCAAAGACTATTCGCTCGCCGTGGTCTGGCCACCGAGGCCTCTTCGACCCCTGCGTCCTCACGCATGCCCCCCTACCCCAAGATTCTGCGGAATCTGGAACAAGTCCGTCGTGTCTTGGGTTCTTCGCGATCTCTCACGTTGGCCGAAAAGATCCTCTACGCCCACTTGGACAACCCTGAGGAGTCGCTGTTGACCGGCACCAACAATGGACGGGACATCCGCGGCAAGGCCAACTTGAAGTTGAAGCCTGACCGTGTGGCGATGCAGGACGCTTCTGCGCAGATGGCTCTGCTGCAGTTCATGTCCTGCGGCTTGCCCTCGACTGCAGTCCCTGCCAGTATTCACTGCGACCACATGATTGTGGGTGAGCGCGGTGCCGACGTCGATTTGCCGGCCTCGATTCAGGGAAACAGCGAGGTGTTCGACTTCCTGGAGAGCGCTGCTAAGCGGTATGGTATCGAGTTCTGGCCTCCCGGTGCTGGTATTATTCACCAGAGCGTGCTCGAGAACTACTCGGCTCCTGGTCTGATGATGCTGGGCACGGACAGTCACACCCCCAATGCTGGTGGTCTTGGTGCCATTGCCATTGGTGTTGGTGGTGCGGATGCCGTTGACGCTCTCGTCGATGCGCCATGGGAGTTGAAGGCGCCTCGCATTCTGGGTGTGCGTCTGGAGGGCAAGCTGAACGGCTGGGCTTCTCCCAAGGACGTCATCCTTCACTTGGCTGGCAAGCTGACGGTTCGTGGTGGAACTGGATTCATCATCGAGTACCACGGCCCCGGTGTGGAGACTCTGAGCTGCACGGGCATGGCTACCATCTGTAACATGGGTGCTGAGGTTGGCGCGACCACCTCCGTCTTCCCCTTCTCTCCCAACCACATTCCTTACCTTCAGGCTACTCACCGTGGCGATGTGGCCAAGGCTGCCGCTGAGATTGCCGCCTCTGGACCCCAAAACCTCCTGCGGGCTGACAACGGTTCCCAGTACGACCAGTTGATCACCATCGATTTGTCCACCCTGGAGCCTCACATTAACGGTCCCTTCACTCCGGACCTCTCGGTTCCCGTGTCTGCTTTCGCGGATACCGTCCGGGAGAAGAACTGGCCCCAGACCTTGGGAGCCGGTCTGATTGGCAGCTGCACCAACAGCTCCTACGAGGATATGACCCGTGCTGAGCACTTGGTCAAACAGGCCACCGCGGCCGGCCTCAAGCCCAAAGCCGACTTCTTCATCACGCCTGGTAGCGAGCAGATTCGGGCTACTCTGGACCGTGACCAGACGCTGTCGACCTTCTCGCAGGCGGGAGGTACCGTGCTGGCCAATGCATGCGGACCTTGCATTGGTCAGTGGAAGCGCACGGACGGCGTCCCCAAGGGCGAGGACAATGCCATCCTGACCTCGTACAACCGCAACTTCCCCGGCCGTAACGACGGTAACCGCCGGACCATGAACTTCTTGGCTTCCCCCGAGCTGGTCACTGCTATGGTCTACTCCGGCAGCACGACCTTCAACCCCATGACGGACAGCATCAAGACCCCTAGTGGCGAGGAGTTCCGCTTCCAGCCTCCTACGGGCCAGGCCCTCCCCGGCCAGGGATTTGCCGACGGCAACCCTGACTTCCAGCCCACCGCTGCTGTTCCTGACGCCTCTTGTGAGGTGATCGTCTCCCCGACCTCCGACCGTCTGGCGCTGCTGGAGCCCTTCGCTCCCTTCCCCAAGGGCGAGCTCTCTGGTCTGAAGGTCCTCTACAAGGTCAAGGGCCAGTGCACCACCGATACCATCTCCGCGGCCGGCCCGTGGTTGAAGTACAAGGGTCACCTGCCCAACATCTCCGCGAACACACTGATTGGCGCCGTCAACGCCGCCACCGGCGAGACCAATGTGGCCTACGACGAGGCCGGCAAGCAGTACTCGATCCCCGATCTGGCTGCCCACTGGAAGTCCCAGGGCACCGAGTGGCTGGTCGTCGCCGAGGAGAACTACGGTGAGGGCAGTGCCCGCGAGCACGCCGCCCTGCAGCCCCGCTACCTGGGCGGCCGCATCATTGTCTCCAAGAGCTTCGCCCGCATCCACGAGACCAACCTCAAGAAGCAGGGTGTCGTCCCCTTGACCTTCGAGAACCCGGCCGACTACGACAAGATCGATGCCTGCGATCAGGTCGCCACCGAGGGCCTGTACGATGTCCTTCATGCCGGTGGCCAGGGCTCCATCCAGCTGCACGTTACCAAGCGCTCGGGTGAACAGCTCGTCATCCCCGTCCGCCACACTCTCAGCCCCGACCAGTGCGGGTTCATCCTGGCTGGCAGTGCGTTGAACCTGTTGGCGCAGCGGGCCAACAAGCAATAAATAGTCCGATCACCTAGTCGGCTATGTTGTTGTTTGTGTGTTTGTATGTCTGTGTCTACCTTTTGTTATGTACATATATCCGTGTGGGGCTTTTCAGGTTCTTGGGCTGTTTGAGTATTCAAAATTCGGGGCAAAAAGCGGGTTAGATTAATTTTATGACTGGAATTTTGTTCCTCAGATCATGTGTGGGTTGTAGATCTTGTGCTTATGTAGGTTAGAATGTCGGGATCGTAAGACTGGAATGACTGACTTTCCATGATGAAGATAATGAGTACTCTAACTATTGTCGCATCTTATCGAGGGCGATTACAGGGGCAGGGAAATGGTTATCGATAAGACGAGACTAAGATTGGTGTACAGTACCGGATCACATGATCCAATTCTGACGTTTTGCCTGGTTTGCACAGGACGCCTCGTCGCATTCAACTTCAACTTTAACCTTTCCTACAGCGCCCAATCTTGAGTATCCATTACACTTCTACCTGGCTTACCTTACCTATCAACTTTATAAAGCTCATTGGCTCACACCGCGCAAGCAGGACTTGCAATTCCCGATTGACACATTCTTTCCGCTGTCATCTGCCAGACTACCTCGACCTTGCAGCCTCACCTCACCTCACCTCGAAATCAATTCATCCGAAATTCAAACAACAATGGACCAACAACCAGAGAAGCGCAAATACGCCGGCCCTACCGTAGGCCCTACCGTCGGCCCCAGCCCCGCGCTCGTCGAGCCGGAAGACGCATCCAGCAAACGCCGCCGAGTCATCGGCCCCTCCCTTCCCCCACCGGCGCAAACCAGCGCCAGCGACGACGACGACGACGACGACGACGACGACGACGACGACGACAACAACAACACGCGCAAACCCAGCGACAACGACAACAACAGCGACAGCGACAGCTCAGATGACGACGACTTCGGCCCAACCCTCCCCCCACCAGCCAGCAGCGCACAACCCACTCAGACCCCACCAAGCGCCAGCACCCTAACCTCCACCTCCCCCTCCACAACTTTAAAACCAACACAACCCACACGCGACGCTTGGATGCTCGAACCTCTCGAACCCTCCGACCGAAACGCACGCATCGACCCCACCCGCCTAAAAAACCGGCGCTTCCAGTCCGGGCCCCGCGCCGGCAACGCCAGCGCCTCTGGCGGTGGAGTCGATGTAACGTGGACGGAGACCCCAGACCAAAAGATGAAGCGGCTCCAGGACGAGGTGTTGGGCGTGCAGGCGCCGCGGAATAATGATTCGGGGGGTGGTGGTGGCGCAGGGGCCAAGCAGACTCAGCCGTCCAAGGCAATGCAGGAGAAGATTCAGCGGTATAATGAGGAGAAGCGGCGGGAGGATGCAGCGGCGCGGGAGAAGCACAAGAAGGCCCACAAGGAGGAGGAGGATGATCCGAGTAAGCGGGCGTTTGATCGCGAGAAGGATATGGGGCTCGCGGGGAAGATTTCCCATGCGCAGAGGCGGGAGATGATGAGTAAGGCGGCGGATTTTGGGAGTCGGTTTTCGAGTGGGAAGTTTTTGTGAGGCGGGGATGAGGGATGAGGGAATTTTGCGGGGGGAGGAGGGGGTTGCGGTAAGGGATGAGGAGGAGGAGGAGGAGGAGGAGGTTACATTGTTGCGTGGTGGGTGGATGGGGGTTGTCTCCGACTTCTGTCTATCTACTTCGAATTTTCATAAGGTGGTTTCGATGGGGAAGTATACAGATCAAAGAATTTGTTGAAGATTGTATATAATGAGTCGACTTGATATATCGGACAACACTATAACCTGAGTGGACCGGATGAGAATGCCGACGGATGACAGGCGGAAGAGGTTCCGGTTTGTGTCAGGGTTGTTTGTTTCCCTGTCTGTCTATCCTGTCTTGTTTTGTCTTTCTGTTTGTGGGTTGCTTTTTCCGCAGATAAACCTGATAAATGGATTAAGTTGGGAATTGAGTTGACAGCAGATTGGAACTGATCTATACAGTATACAGTACTGGGAGGTACTGGCTGCTATAGTGTCACTCCTCCTTCCTTGTGCCGTGCGGGGAATGGAAGCCAATCCCAAAACAATCCAAACAATTCCACCCCAGCTTATCGCCTTCCTCTTCACCGATACGAGGTTCCATCATCATCTCCTCATTGTCTCAGCTTCCCTGCCCTGCTTCTTTCCTGTCTGTTCCTCCTCTCTTTTACTTCCCACCCACTCCTCTGAATGTACCCCTCCGTATACTTCCTTCCCCATTCTCTCTCACCATGAATCTCCGTCGAGTGACCTCGCACAATTTCCATACCTTTCGACATCACTATGTGTCGGAGGTCTCTGGCTCTCTGGGCGATCTGGGCACCTTCCTGCCAATTGCCATCGCCCTCGCTGTCAATGGCACTGTCTCTCTTTCGAGCACTCTGATCTTCTCCGGTCTGTTCAACATTCTAACAGGCCTCTTCTTCGGGATTCCATTACCCGTACAGCCCATGAAAGCCATCGCTGCCGTGGCCATTGCTCGCACTTTCACCAACGGAGCCATCGCCGCCGCAGGTATCTTTGTCGGGGCTTGCGTCTTCCTTTTCAGTATAACCGGACTCCTGAACTGGTTCGCCAATGCGATCCCCATTCCCGTCATCAAAGGCATCCAGGTCGGAGCCGGTCTTTCCTTGATCATCGCGTCAGGGGGTTCGATTCTCTCGTCCCTCGGATGGCTATACCCGTCCTGGGCTGACAACCGCATCTGGGCCGTGGCTGCCTTCCTGTTCCTGATCATCACCAACGTCTACCGCAACGTGCCCTACGCCCTGCTCGTCTTCATCCTAGGGCTCTCGTTTGCAGTCATCGGCAGTGCCCTGGCCTCCGACCTCCCCTCCCTCGTCTTCTGGCACCCCTTCACCGTCATCCCATCCGCACACGAATGGCGAATCGGCGCTCTAGACGCGGGAGTCGGCCAGATCCCCCTGACGACCTTGAACTCCGTCGTCGCCGTTGTTCACCTAGCCGGGGACCTCCTCCCAACCCTGGAGACTCCCTCCATCACCTCCGTCGGCCTCAGCGTTGCCGGCATGAACCTCATCGGATGCTGGTTCGGCGCGATGCCCGTCTGCCACGGCTCCGGCGGTCTAGCGGCCCAGTACCGCTTCGGCGCCCGGTCCGGCGCCAGCGTCATCATCCTGGGGGCTCTCAAGCTGATCATCGGCGTCTTCTTCGGTGAATCCCTCGTCGGCCTGCTGAAGCGCTTCCCCACCGCCCTGCTCGGCGTGATGGTCATCGCCGCCGGCCTGGAACTGGTCAGCGTGGGCGAGTCCCTGAACACCACCGGGGCGCGGGATATCCGCAAGGCAAGCCACGGGTTCGCCGGCGACGGCGCGCAGGAGATCGGTCCGATGCTGAGCGACTGGGAGCGGAAGCGCAGGTGGACCGTCATGATGGTCACCGTGGGGTTGTTGGTCGGGTTCAAGAACGATGCCGTCGGCTTCGTGGCCGGCATGCTCTGCCATTGGGGGTATGAGTTGCCCACGCTGTTTGAGCGGGCGCGTGAACGGTGGAATCAGAGGCGGATTCAGTTGGAGTGATTGAGCTGATATTTTGGTTTGACTCTCCGTTGTTTGACGGCGACTTCTTTCTGGTAGTCGATTGTCTCCATGTTTGTATAGTTGACCTCGGTGTATATACGCTTTTCAGGGGCATTTTTAGATATTTTTGCTCTGACTGAGACCACGAGAAAGATGAGATATGAGTTATATGTTTTGATTTTATTGATTTATGCTTGGGCTTGCGTACTGTGCTTACAAGGTTGGGCTTTGCCACGCGGCTACTCATTGGTACAGAAGATCCAGGCTGAAATACGGATCGGGGCTGAGGTGGTTACAGTCTGGATGTCATATTAGATGTTATGGTCTTGGGCAGCAAGCTTTTGGGCTTTGGATACACTACCCGACTCTTATATATACTGAAATCAAGGAATGTGGCCAATCTGCTACTGAGTGTGTTGAAATGTGGACAGGCGCTGACGGACATGCACTACGTAGGTTGTGCGAGGTCAATCTCCTGAGTGTGGACGGACCGAATGCTAATACCAGACATGAAATCTGTTCAGGCGCCGGTACTACTTCAGTCTCCTAGATTACTGTACACCACACAAACATATTGCTAACAGCATGAACATCGATTCTTTTCCCCAATCCGGCTATACCTAGCATACAAAACCGCAACTTTTCCCTACTTTTTGTGTACTTCTACCAAGCCCCTACCTCTCGCTAATATACACCAAACCGCAGCTCACCTCTTACATACGCTTGAGGACATCATCCAGAACCTGCTGGGTGGTCGCCTTCCCGCCCATATCGGGGGAGAGGAACCTGCCCTCATCGAGGTTGGCATCGACGGCGGCGTAGATCTTGGCGGCGGCGGCCTCCTCGCCGAGGAACTCGAGCATGAGGGCGACACTGCGGAGGGTGGCGATGGGGTTGGCGATGCCCTTGCCCTCGATGTCGGGGGCACTGCCGTGGCAGGGCTCGCCGATGGCGAAGCCATCACCCACGTTGGCGCTGGGCACCAGCCCCAGACTGCCGACGAGGGCGGCGGCGCCGTCGGACAGGATGTCGCCGTACAGGTTGGGCGCGACGATGACATCGTAGTACTCGGGCTGGCGGAAGAGCTTGTAGACCATCGAGTCGACGATCTGCTCCTCGACCTCGACGCTGCCGGCAAACTGGTTTGCGGCGAGGGCGCGCCGCGCCGTCTCGCGGAACAGCCCGTCCGTCTGCGACAGCACGTTCGACTTGTGCGTGATCGTCACCATGGGGCTGGTGCGGGCGGTCGTGGATAGCCCGGGGGGCCCCGCGGTGCGGATCTTTTGGCGCCGCAGCGCGATCTCCCCCGCGATGCTGGCGATGCGGAAACTCGCCCGCTCGGAGATCCGCTTGATCGCTTCGGCCACTTTGCCCTCCGCGGTGTCGCGCGTCGTCTCCTCCTTCACGTACAGGTCCTCCGTGTTCTCGCGCACGATCACCAGGTCGATCGGCTTGCCGTTGTGGCTGCCTCCGGCTGTGGTCTTGACGGGCCGCACGTTGGCGTACAGGTCGAGCTTCTTGCGGAGCGCGACGATGGGGGAGGAGTACCCGGCGACTTTTGTGCTGGGGGAGCTGTGTTTCGTGGCTTGGTTAGTATGATGGGGTGATTGAGGGTTGGGGATCAAGGGGAAGGACATACCTCACGGCTCCGAATAGAGCGCCATCACACTCCTTCTTCAGGGTCTCGACCGTCTTGTCCGGAAGAGCGGTACCGGTCCGCTTGAAGGTGTCGAATCCGGCATCCAGATCGACGAAGCTGAAGTTCAGGTTCAGCGAGGAGGGGAGAGCCTCCAGAACGCGGCGACCGGCCTGTTTGGAGCTTGTTGTCAGTTTTTTTTTTTTTTTTTGGTGTCGTGGTTGAGCAGCAATTGCAACCATTGCTGGGAAAGTGACTCACCGGGATGACCTCCCGTCCGATACCGTCTCCGGGGATGAGACCTGTATAGTTGGAGAGGGATATCAATTGGATGCTCTTCCGATGCAAAAAATCACAGAATCAGAATAACGTACCAATGCGAAGGGTTCTAGCAGCAGCAGCCATGGTGAAATTGCGGAATTTTGAGTAGGCAGATGGTGGTGCAAGAATCAGGGAGAGTTTAAAGTGTGACGCGAGCTCATTATAAACGGCCGATAGAGAAACCGCCGCAATCGGAGGATCGGCGGGCCCCGGTTTTTTTGGGGGGGGGGTGGGAGGGCGGAAGGAGGACCGGGTGTGGTGTGGGTAGTGGGCGTGGCTGGCAGGGTCTTACCGCATTGGACACCGCCCCCAAGTGGCAGAAACTAAGCAACCTCGTAACGAGAATTCGTTCTGCACTAGGTATACAGAGGGGAAAAAGTTAACTGGAAAACTGTTCAAACTCGTACCGCCTTCGACTAGGGGCAGGATTCTAGCTCCTTACCACGTATCACCGCTCCAGATGGCAGAAACTAAGGAACCTCGCGACCTCTCAGCGAGTTCTCACTGGTGTACAGGGAGGAAAAAGTAGCCGGGGAAACTGTTCAATTGGTCACCGCCCGCCGAAGCTGGGGGACTCCTGGCCGGCAGAAAAGGTGGGCCGGCGATGATGACATGACAGTCACGTGAGTTTCAACTAATGATCCACAACGGCTCGCACTCCTGGTGTCAATGACTCTCCGTAATCGACACACTTTCCGTCTCACCCCTTCGAAAGCCACCTGCCAACGCGAATCTGCTACGGTTGTCCAGAAAGCTCACCGGACACTGTTCCAGGGCCAGACGCACTACGGGGTACAACAAGGACAACCGACGTCTGTTCGGCGATCTATACAACCCGTACTCCACTCACCAGCTCGTTCACTCTCCCTTCCGTGAGCGAGAAGGCGTTCCTCGCCTTTCCTCCCGCCCTTCACTTTCGTTGGGTGTGTCACTCACCCTTGGGGCAATCGGCCGTCTTCCCCTTGCGGGAGGAAAAAGAAAAGGTGCCGCTTTCGCCGCCGCCGCAGCTTTTCTTTGTCAGGATGGTGTACGATTGGGAAGGAAAGCGGGAAATCTGCTTTCAGATGTATATTAAGGACAAAAAGGCGCTCGAGGAGATCATGGAATATATGAAGAATGTCTATCAGTTTGCACCGAGGTGAGTGAGTCTTCTTGAGGTTGCGCGTATCTAATCATTGAACCTTGGATTTCCGAAACCTCGACTCCTCTCCCCGCGCCGATCCGTTCTCTGTCTCTCTCTCTCTCTCTCCTCGTTCTTGTCTCACTGACAGCCAATTATTTCTCCCCCAGTAAACGAGCGTTTCAAACCCAATTCAAGCGATGGGGATTCCCGTCCAAACAGAATCCAGCACACAAGAATGTCGAACTCGTGGCGCGCGTCAAACAGCTCTGGGAGCGAAACACCAGCCAACGAGACATGCTGCGCATGCTCAACGAGGAAGGGTTCGAGATCAAGGAGCGGGAGCTGATGCGGGTGCGCGCCAAGAATCGTTGGCTGCTTCGCGTCCCCAACGGCATGAAGTCGCAGTCGAGGATGATGCAGACGCCCGTGCCGCAATTACCGGAGGATGAAGGTCTCCTGGCGCTGCAGCAGGAGGTGTATAAGTCTGGGTTGGCCTATGAAGAGCCCGAGGAGCCTCTTGTCCCCGCTGTCCCCGCTGTCCCTGCTGCCACCACCACCGTCGCCACCGCCGACGACGCGTCGACTTCACCGACAGCCTCTCCAGCCTTGTCGGTTGAGGCTCTGGCCAAGCGCAAAGAGCGAATGGACAAGTTGAAGGCAGAGAGTGCGGAGCGCTGGGCGAATCGGAAACGACGGCGGCGCACGCGCGGATGGGCAGGCATGCCAGCGGATCCTCCAGGGCCGCCCCGATTTCCCTCGGAGACGACGATTGACGAGAGTAAGAAGTACCTGAACCTGGATAATGTGATGTATCGGCAGATTCGGGACCAGTTTCAACAGATCTGTGAGGAAGCAGGCTTCATCAAGAAGACGGTGGCTGGGCCCGAGCGATGGCAGGAGGCGAAGAACAAGTTGATCCAGGAGTCGTACCACCTCCAGCAGGTGTTTCACGATCAGAATCAACTGGACGTGAAGTCGTTGGCGTTGGATGTTGTCTGTACTGATGTGACGAAGCGGATGCGCACGCTGGAGCGCCGGATGACCATTGCCGAGGCGAAAAATGCTCTGGGCATCAACCCGGAGGAGAGTCGTCAGATTCGGAATGCATTCTACAATACTCTCAAGGCGGATCATTTCACCAGTAAGCTGGAAGCGGGCGACGAACATTGGAAGGAATTGAAGGAACAATGGATCCAGAACTCGGAGCTTCTACGGCGCATTCTCGCCCCCGGCGCTGCGGATCCCGAGCATACGACCAAGCTCAAGGCCCTCGAGGTCCTTTGTCGCGACGTCATGAAACGACTTCGCGATGACCAAACCAAGCGACATCCCGCCCGGAAGTCGTCGGTCACACACTCTCATGTGCCCAGCCCGGATCTAGAGAGCCCCCCAGTCAGCGTCAGTGCTACCTTCGGCAGTGGCATCGCGAATGGCATCAGCACCCTGGCTTCGCAGGCCCTGGCCAGTGCATCAGTGTCGAACAGCGATTTGGGCGACATCCAGATTGACCCTTCTCTGTTGCAAGCTGCTAACGACCCGTCCTTTGCCACCGCTGCTCATGCTGACTCGGGCCATGCCTTTGGCTATGTGGATCCGATGCTGGGGTCGTCCCTCTTGCACGTGCCCGTCTATCTCCGCATTCACCCCCAGAGTCCATTGCATGGAGACGCTAAGACCTGGGTGGATAAGTTAACCGCCAGATCGGTGACGGAACTCCAGCAATTGGTTGCAGCGAGATATCCTGACGCGGTCATCACAAAAATCGAGGGTACTGACCGCGACGAGAAAGGTAACGAGATCTCGTTTGTCATCGACGAGGAGCACGAGCTGGATGCCTATCTAACTCATGTCCATGGAAGGAAAGCGACGTTTGTCTTTTCCTTGGACCAAATTTGACATTTCGCACCAAACTGCTCGTGATCTTTCATGCCACCAGGCTGGCTCTCTGCAGTGCTGTTACTGATACCCATATTTTGCACATCTTGTAAACGACCGGTTAGAAATAAATGCGCAAGTTGTGCTTACCGTACCCATTGAACCATTCGAGTGTAATTCCGCGAACCGAAGTTGTTGTATGGACGAGGTAAGAGCGCTACATGGTTGGCAGTGGAGCCAATGGCGAGCCCTTGCGGGGGTGGACGAAACCACCCAACTTCAATCACCTTCTTCCATACTCTCTGTCATCCGTGAGAACAGGTTTCACGACTAAGATTATCCTTTGCAGCGGTGTCTAGTGTTGTCTTGCACTGACTTTGCTACCTCCTTCTTTGTTAACCTTGTTGATCGGGTTCTGGTCGTATTCGTATCTATTTCCCTGCCTCCAGCTTTCGGAAATGACGCAGTGGTGGCTGGCCCCCGATGCTCAGCAGACAAGGCAGCAGTGGGAACCATCGCTGTGATGTGCGTGTTGATCTTCGCTACTCCGTCATCAAGCCAAAACTCCGTGAGTGTGCCCTCAAGGAAGAAAAGGAAATACATAGTATCTATTTTTATTCGTGTTCACATACAGTCGCTGACTACACATGAGATAGTTAAAAGTTATTGACTTGTGCTGACATGCTGAGTCAAGGATAGAAAGCCTGCCTGCCAGCCAGCCTGGAGGATCGAGATCTACCGCCCAGCGACTAAAATGTCATGTCTCACCTCCTTACTTTTTTCCAGCGGCACATGGCCTCATGCTTGTGTGTTGTGACACGGACCGATCGGGGGTTGGCAATATTGGCAACGCTGGGCAAAAAAGCTTGGGACCCGACCGCATACCGATGTCCACCAGGGGCAGGAAAGTGTAAAAAGACAATGAAGACTGGTTACAACTACCACAGCCATGACCCAGACAAGAAAGCACCCTGGCGGGAAAAGTCTGGATTGAGTCGACCCTGGATCCAAGACAGAACAATCTTGTCGCACCATTCATCATCCATGGGCACACTGTCCCCAATTTGTTCCAAGAATAACCGGACGGTTCTCAATGATCATTGCACGAGCGAAGCTGACGTGGTCCGCCCGATTGTCCCTCTTCACTCCATGGTTAGCCACTGGTCTGCTAGTAATCTCCTTTTTTCCTTTCCGGCTTGAGAAAATGAGTAACAATAAATAATCAAATAACAAAATCTGGAACCTGAGACGGGTTGGCGGCTAGCAGAGCAGTCTAGTGCTGGGTCTCGCTCCCCCCTCTCTTCCCCCCCGGCCCCATTTTCTGCTTCTGCTGCAGTCCCTATGCTTGCTTGCTATTGGAAACTTACTGCTGCCGCTGCGGCCAAACGCCATCATCCTTCTTTCACTCTTTCCCTGTCCCGTTCTCAGTCTCAATCCTAACTTATCCTTCTCTCTCCGACCCTTTCCCTTCTTTCCCTTCCCCTCTCGATCGTTTCGCCTATCTGGCTCCCATCCCCGCTGGTCTACAGTAACCTTCCTTCGTTTTTTTCTGTCTTCTCTCTTCTCCGAACCCTCCTGCCGCTCGTTTCCTCCCCCATTGCCTTCCTAAGTCGCCGCCTCCCACCATGCGCTTCCTCCATGGTGCTCTCCATGGAGGGCTGCTTCTAAATGCCGCTCTCTTCGGCCATGTTACTCATGCCATTGATCTTGATATCAGCAGTGAATGTATGCCTTCCGCTCTTTGATTCTATCGCGTCCTCCAGCCTGCCGTCTACCTTAACCATACCATTCGGGGCTATATTGTGGCATTCTCGGATAAGCTGTCACACAGAACACTGACCATCGTCTATCGCAACAGCATCTATAAAGGCTGCGGCAAGCAAAACAGCATACGGGTCAATGACCTGGTACCACGGCAATGAGACCGGCCAAATTCCTGGTGCATTCCCTTCCAAGTGGTGGGAAGGCAGTGCGCTGTTCATGAGTTTGCTTCTCTACTATTACTATACCGGGGACAGCACCTACAACGACGAAGTTCGCCAAGGTATGCAATGGCAAGCAGGTGATTGCGACTACATGCCGAGCAACTACAGTAGTTATCTGGTATGTAATCCGGCTCGCGTGGGATCAGACTTTCGGACGGAATCTCACATAATGCATCTGTGCAGGGTAACGACGATCAAATGTTCTGGGGCCTTGCGGCGATGACCGCGGCGGAGATCGACTTCGCCGATTCGACCGACGGATATTCCTGGCTCGCTCTTGCCCAGGGCGTGTACAACACCCAAGTCGCACGCTGGGACTCCTCGAACTGTGGAGGCGGGCTGCGCTGGCAGATCTGGCCGTACGAGGCTGGTTACGACATGAAGAACTCAATCTCGAACGGAGGCTTGTTTCAGCTGGCTGCCCGTCTCGCCCGTTACACGAACAACGATACGTACGCCGACTGGGCCGAGAAGATCTTCGATTGGTCGGCATCTGTTCCTCTGTTGAACAACGAAACATGGAACGTTGCAGACTCTACCGACATCGATAACGGCTGCACAACGCAGGGCAACAACCAATGGTCTTACAACTATGGAACATATCTGATGGGTGCCGCATACATGTACAACTACGTAAGGACGAAACCCGACTGACCTTTGGTTGTGTGGACGCTAATCTGAGACAAAATCGCAGACGGGCAAGGCCAAATGGAAGACCGCCGTGGATGGTCTTCTGAACGTCACTCTGACCACATTCTTCCCGTCCAAGTACGGCGGGAACATCATGTCCGAGGAACTCTGTGAACCCCTGGAGGTTTGCAACGACAACGAAATCCTCTTCAAGGGCCTGCTTAGCGGATGGCTCGGATTTGTGGCGTTGGTGGTTCCCTCGACATATGACCAGATCTTGCCGAAGCTGCAGGGCTCCGCCGAGGCCGCTGCCGCGTCTTGCAGCGGAATGAGCAACAACACGTGTGGTGTACGGTGGTACCCGAAGTCGTGGGATGGATGGAACGGCATGGAGGAAGAAATCGCCGTCACCAATGTTCTTTCATCTGTTCTCATTACGACGAAGAAGTCCGGTCCAGTGACCTCCACTACTGGCGGTAACAGTACCAGCGATCCGAATGCCGGTAAAGGAGATACCACCGGCGACAAGACTACGACACGGAAGATCACCGCCGGTGACAAGGCCGGTGCATCTATCTTGACGATTGTTTTTGTTGGTGCCTGGGGTGGCATGATCGCTTGGATGCTCCTCGGAGGCTAGGCTACCGCAATGACGGCTTGATGTCGCATCTATATACCACACAGTGGTCATTATATATCATTTTCACATATTGCGGTGTCTTTTTCTAGGGGGACCTTTTCCCTCTTTTCTCTTTATATATATATATATATATTTTTGGTTCATATTCCCGGTGGTTTCAAGTGGTCGGGTACATATTGTGTTGTTGAGAGGCGCAGTGTGTCTATAGGTCTTGTATGATTTGTTTCTGGATGCCTTCGCTTGTCAAGGATATGACTGTATATATAGAAGATAATCAAGATTCAGCAGGTATATTTGAGGCAATCTGCGGGTGTCCGTCCTTCTACCCATCGGTTAGTTCGCCACCGCGGAAAAGCAGTCCCCTGAAGAGACTGTGAGAAGTGAGGGGGTAGTCAAGGCAAGACTAACAAACTACAAGGGCCGGCTGACATAATGACACTCCGCAGGAACGCTGCGGAGAGTGGGGCTGACATAATCGACGGTGAGTGGTCAGAAGACTGGGGCGAATGACTCTCGCTGTGGAATGGAACCTGAACCTTAAAGGCAAGGCTTAGACTCTCTGTCTGTCCGGCTGCCAGCGGGCGCCAGGCCTCTCTTTGCCTCTCTCTTTCATGCACACCTCTCCCTCTCTCTCTTGTCTTCCTACTTCTCTCTGGACAATTCTTCTATCCCCTATTGTGTTTCTATTGTGGTTCTTCTTCCCCTCCTCCCAAACACGGCGTCATACATTCTCCATTTCTGCATACCCGCATTAGTCTCCCTTCTCTTAACTGAGAAAGGGTCTCATTGCGGCTGGGATCCGATCTAGATTGCACCGAGCCTTAGGCCCTTAGCTTCTTCCCTCCGCCGTTCGCCCCCCACTTAGATACGTCGCTTTCCCTCAGAACCCTGCTTTCCATCTATCACTCTATCGCCCCTCCGCTTGCACACACTAGCATCCCATCACAAAGAAAATGCTCGGCGAAGGTCCTGAGGACACTTCTCGGCCGTATCTTCCGCCGTCGCTCGAAGATGAAGAGGCTCGTTCGGTCGATCCCGACGCTTCCGATCCGCCTCAGGATGAGGAAGCGGCCCTCCGATATCTGCCCGTCTGGCTACGGGAATCATCCAAATCTTTTCGCTGGGGTTGGGTACCATTGCCGCTGCGGAAAGTCGGTCGAGCCACCGCTGAATGGGTCCGGGGTCCCAGTCCTCCGCGATCACTGCTTCTGAGGCCCTTGTTCCCACAGATCCAGGAACTTCCGGTCCGTTACATGGAGCGCTTCTTCCCCAAGCGCAAACAGAAGATTGCGCTGTTGCTGTTGCTGTATGTCGCCTGGTTCTTGCCGTGGAGTCTGGTGCTATGGCACTCCCGGCAGGCCGGGTATATTGAGGGATATGGGCGACCGCAGACACTGTCTTGCCGGACAAGCTTCTGGTAAGCTGAGATGCGCTAAAGCGGTGCTGTAGATCGAGCTAACCTAGATCCAGGGCCCACGGGAATGAATGTGGGCTGAACGGAAACGATTGTCGCCCGTTCTCCGAGTCAACGATTGCCTTCCGTTGTCCTGCCAACTGTCACGACGCTAAGTTGTTGGATCCTCATATGGTTGGCAACGAGACGTATAGTTATCAGGGCCTAGTCGTGGGAGGACCGGAGCCCGGCTCGGATGAGCCCGGTGTCTACCGGGCTGACAGTTATGTCTGTCAGGCGGCCATCCATGCTGGTGTTATCACTAACACGGTGGGTGGCTGTGGTGTGGTGAAGTTGGAAGGTGCTGCGCACTCGTTCCCACCGTCGAAGCAGAATGGAATCCGCTCGGTCGGATTTCCATCTACCTTCCCCAAGTCTTTCAGCTTTGTGGAGCTGTCTTCGTCGCAGGCGACATGCCCTCAAGACCCTCGGTGGCCGCTGCTTGGCATCACCATGGGTGTGCTGAGCGTACTTTGGATCTTCAGCACCTCTCCGCCGGTGCTGTTCTTTAGCACCTTCTTCATGCTGTTCTGTCAGGTGGGCCTGGTCTCAGATCCGCCTTCTTTCACCCAATTTGCCGACCTACTCTCGAGTCTGTTGTCACGACTGCTGCCGGCCTCTTTCGTGGCTTACGTCCTATATAAGTACTGCGCTCGGCCGCTGTTGGATCCGCTGTCGAAGCCTGTCTATCAGATCACCAAGACGCTGCTCTACTTGCCACCTGCGTTTATTGGCGGTCTGAACAACTATACCTTTGCGAGGCTGATTCCCTTGGAACGACTAACACCCCACGATATCCAGAAACAGCCCGGAGCCAAAGTAGCACTGGCGCTTGTCATTCCCACGGTCATCTGTATCATTCTCACTCAGGCTTGGCAGATTCGCATGGGTGGTTTGATGCCTCGCTATCTTAAGATCTATTGCACGATGGGTCTTATCCTTCTGATCTTGCTTCCTTTGCCGGGCCTCCGCCTGCGCATCCACCACTACATTCTCGCCATCCTCCTTATGCCTGGAACAGCCCTTCCTACTCGACCATCTCTGATTTATCAGGGCTTACTCCTGGGTCTTTTCATCAACGGCGTTGCCCGGTGGGGGTTTGCGTCGATCATTGAAACACCCGCGGCTTTGGGCGAGCAAGCCCCGGGTCCTGGTGGAGCGCACGGGTGGTGGGGCGGCACCTACCCCAACGTCACCGATTCCTCCGTGACCATTTCGCTGCCGGGCTTGGAGTCCCACGAAACCCATCACGGTAACGGCAACATCACCTTTACTCTCTGGGAACAACAACGTATGGACAAATTAGGCGTGGATGGGATTTCAGTTTTGGTAAATGACGTCGAGCGCTGGCGCGGATACCTTGACGAAGATAAGCGCGGAGAATTCATCTGGCATAGACATGGACATAACGGACTCGAATTATTCCACCGGCCAACGATTGAGAGTGATTCGATGGATATGGAGGTTCTCCGTGAGGACGAAGACTCGCAACCAGAGGATCTCTTCTTCCGCTTTGCTTTCCTCAAGGGAGCGGAAGCTGGCAAGTATGGAGGGGCTGGAGTCTGGCTGAAAGATGGACGATGGTTGTCACCGCCAGCTCCAAAGTCCTAGACTTGGTGTATCCCTGCATGGTCGATGTTTAGAGATGGTGTTGATGGAGTACGGATTGGTGTTTATGATTAACAATCGCTCCTGCCTTCCCAGGCTCGGTGTTTGTGCATGCTGTGATAGTAGAACGTATATAGAAGTATCAGAGAGCCCGAATATCTCCGGAATTATCATATGAACTGGTAATGAGTACTTGAGCATAGTTAGCCACCTTTTATTCTTTGTATACTGGGGTTAATTCATCGGCGTTACCAAGAAAATCCCAGACGATTTCCCCAAGCCATCATGTGACCCGAGCGGCGGTGGGTTGTGGTGTTTGCAGTGTTTGACGTGAACGGTGGAGCGCGGAGAACTACTCAGAATCACTCCAGTAAAGTAGACCAACTTAAACTACCGGCAGTTGTTGGCCCGGTCCTCCGTTCACTCCACGGGCGGTTTCTCTCTTTTGCCCCCCTTGGACAACATTTACGCTCCATTGACTGCATCTCCAATCCAGAGAATATCACACTACAATCGCATACTCGTTTTCAATTCCAACGATACGCGGGCAGGCCGCCCTGCCTGCCACTGCCACACCACAGCCTGCCACTCCTCTCGCTCAACCCACCCTTTAAAGCCCCCCCAATTCCACCCACCTCCCCCCGGAAGAGCCACAATGATGTCCTCATCATTCGCCCCGAGTCTCACCCGCCGCGACACCAAATCCAGCATCCATGACGGCGGCAGCAGCATCGGGCTCGGGCACAACGGCAGCACGGCGGGGACGCTCCCGCCGCCCCTGACGAGCACGAACGGGTCGTACGGTCCGCAGAGCGCGGCGGCGGTCTACCAGCACATCCACGATATGGCGGCGAAGCGTATCTCGACACTGGGGTACCTGCGGAAGGCGCACGAGGGGCGGATCTACTGGTTCAACACGGTGCACTTCTCGCGGGCGGACATCAGCCGGCTGGCCTACTTCGAGTCCCGCAAGCTGTCGCGGCGGGCGATCAACTTCCTGCTGCTGGGGCTCTCGCTGCCCCCGATCCTGGACGTCAGCACGACGCCCGTCGAGTTCCTGCGCGCCCTCAACGCCCTCCTCCTCGAGTTCGAGGCCTTCCAGCAGGTGCACCCGCCCGACGGCCCGCCCTCCTCCACCGCCTCCGCCCTCGCCCGCGCCCGCATCCCCCAGATGTTCAAGCGCGCCGCCCACGCCTCCGGCGCCTACTCCTCCAAGGCCCGCCGCGCCAGCTCTGCCACCGAGATCGGCCTCCCCATGCAGTCCTCCGACCCCTCCGACCTGAAAGCAATGGCCGGCGGCGTCTCCTCGTCCGGCGCTTCCGCTTCGGCCCACCACCACCACGCCGCCGCCGCCTCCTCTGCATCCTCCGCTTCCATGGGTTTCCCGCACACCGAGGCCTCCGAACTCCTCCCCGGCGAGGAATACACCTACCTCCTGACCCCCCTGCTCCCGTTTGAGCCGGATTACTTCGAGACCTTCGTCACGCTGTGCGACGTCCTGATCGATTGCTACACCCGCTTGGTCTCGTTGGTCTACACGCCCAGTATCTGCACGGTGGCCATGGGCGAGATGTTCTCCAAGGCCGATGCGAAGATCCGCAAGATCATGGTCGCGGGGATTGTGCGCGAGTTCGAGGATTCCAGTCGCACGCAGGCCAAGACGGAGATTGCCGGCGTGAGTCGCGTGGTTTTGGGCGGGTTGATGGGGTAGCTAACACCTTGGTGTGTTTGTTTTTCCCCCTGGTGGTGGTGGTGCTGCTGCGGCGGCGCTCCCCCCTCGTCTCTTTTGTTTTTGAATTGTTTCTGCTTGTTCATATGACAAATTGTGGAGCTGCGGTTCCCCGCCCCCCTCGTCGGGTTATGGGAGTATATAGGAGTCTTTTTCTTTCTTTCTACTTTTTCTGTCCATTCTTGGTCATGGGTATGTGTGCATATTACCTTCCCTTACCCTTCCCCCCCCCCCTCTATTCTCAGACTATCGGAATGTTTTTATACAAGGGATATGAATGGGTTCTCCTGTCTGATAATGATGAACTGTGATATGTCATCTTAATGTCTGTTTGTCCATAGAATGATACCTCATTGACAATTCCAGGTGGTGTGCAGTGGATGTGGATATCGATGGTTGTGTTTGTTCGAGAGTTTCATCTCGTATAGTTACATTAAGTGGAAGGCACTCCTCGCTCCAGGCTCGAGTAAACCTACTTGCAACCCATCACCATACCCGCCCGGGTCTAGTACGCAGTCCTCCCCGTCTTCACTTCGGCGATACACCCCTCCTCCGCCATCCTTTTCACCAGATCAAACAACATGAAATCACAGCCCCGTCGCGCGATCAGATTGAAAACTACCGGCCACTGCTCCGTCACCATCGCCACAGGCGAGGAGTACGGGACTTGTCCCAACGGGATCGTGAAGTCCGCACAGCTGGATGACAATCATGCTGTTAGCACACCCTTTGTGGTCGGAAGACCAACCATAAGAGAAAGAAAAACTCACCCGAACAACGCACAGATGGTCACGCACGGAATCACCGCCCCATCCGGGTACGAGGATAGGAACGTCGCGTTGGGGCCCTCGTTCAGCCTCGACTCGCGGAAGCTGGGCAGCCCTCCGGTCCCGGCATCGCAAACGAGCAACGCCTCGGAGCAGGCGTCCGCATCAGAGCGGAGAATCTCGCGCTCAAACCACTCAATACTCTCGGCTCGGCTCTGCACGGCGGCCTCATAGTTCTCCGCATTCGTGACGTTGAAATCGAGGTTCGTCCAGAGGGAGCGGAGACCGGGGTCCACAGGCGGGAAGCGTCCGTCGTGCTGGTCGGCCCAGGCTGAGATCAAGGGCTGGGCCACGCTGTGGTACTGCGGCCACGTGGTGAGGACAATGGTGTTGTTGGCGAGGCGGTCCCAGTTGTCGGTCGTGTCGGGGAAGTTGGCGGCGTCTGTGATGGTGGCGCTGAGATTGAAGTGGGTGATTGTCATGTTGAAGAGGGCGGTTAGTCGGGAGAGGGTGGAGGTGAGCAGGTCTTGTGCCGCGGGGTTGGGCATGGGGAAGTATTCGTCTGGGTAGAGGATGCGTGATGGGAATGTATGAGTCTTCGGCAGGGAAAGTGGAGGAAGGCCGGTGATGGAGGTGTTTTGATGCAGCTTCGGCTCGCTGTCATACCATGATTTCGCGAACTGAGACCATGCGAGTGGATCACGCCCAAAGACACCAACAGTGTCACCGGCCCAGCTGAGTGGCACGGCTCCCTCTAGGGACATTATACACTGGCTGGGCCGATTGCCGTAGGTACCGGAGACGGCTGCTGGTCGGCGCATCGATGAGCCGGTGTCAGTGCCGATGGCATGGTCTAGCCAGGCGTATGCTGCAATGGAGCAAACGCCTCCGGAGGACGAGCCGGCGCAGGTGAGGTAACCGTCGCCTCGGGGGTTGAAGGGATGTTGTGCATCAACCCAGTCCCATGGGCTTGCGCTGGCAGCAAACTGGGCTATTTTGTACTTGCCCACGAGGACTGCACCCAGATCGATCAGCCGCTGGATAGCTGGCGCTGTCGAATCGGCGATTGGATGTGTGTGAATCCACGCCTGACTGCCGGCTGAGGTCTGGAGGCCTTTAACGTCAAAGAGGTCTTTAATGGCCACTCGTTTCCCAGCCAGTGGACGAGGATCGTTCCAGAAATAGATGCGACTGGGAACAGGTATCATCGGAGCCCAGGTCCGAGAGTGCATGGACTGAAGCGGTGCGTAAGTGTCCAGGCCATCATTGATAGGGTAGCTTCCTGTGATGAAGTCGCGATACTGGTCGATGTATAGCCTGTAGGTGTCTAGAAAGTGAATTGTCGTTCCAAGCAATAGAGCCGTATACGGTCCGGGCTGTAGAGCTTTTTGACTGCTCATACGTACGGAGACAGCATAACTGGGGGCTTTTCGGAAGACTGTAGCGTCGAGATAGAGCTGGTCGACTCCGATCTGATCGAAGTATTTCAGCGCCGTCTTGTCGATGGTGACGGATCGAATGGAAGAGGTTGAAGTGATATAGATCGAGGTCAGGAACTGCTCGAAGAAGACATCATCTCCAGCCAGATAGGTGTCAATTATCTCATCCAAGAAACCCCCGGTGACGACACTCTGGTTGATGATGATCACAGTGATTGGCGTGTATGCCTTGGCCTCAGCTGCTTCACTTCTCTTGGAACTTCCAATCTTTCCAATCGCTTGTGGATGCACCGCGTTTGCAAAGTAGGTGACATTGCCCAGGTCATACGTGATTCCTTTTCCTGAGGTATGCTCCAGATTCTCGACTTGAATGGAAGCTGTACTCATTGCCCATCCGAGAATCAGAAGATAGAGAGTATGCATCGGCGCCATGCTGCGGACAAGTGGTATGAGGTTCTTTGTGTGATTTGCAAAGTAGATCGATGGAGTAGAGCTGGGTGGTGAAGTCTGCAGTAAGGTATAGTACTTAAATGGGAAAGATCCTCTCACCACCAGACTCAGGCTGCCGTCTGCACCTCCAATCTCGATACTTCCAGTTTCATCTTCACATTCAACTAGCACTGGTCTAGGCTGTTCACCGTCTACTTTGTCTCAGACATCCACACCATCTTAGCAACTTGCACTATCAGTCAACACCCTGCAGATGGTTTTTCTCAGGGAGACGACCACCGCGCCCAGCTCTTGGGCTATTGAACTCAGCTTCCCCCTTTCTTCAGCGCAGCAATCTGGCAACTTCCAGTCTTGATGGCTTTTGACACTCACTAGAAACCGGTCTTCTTTCGAGAACGGACAGACATGATGGGAAATCACGGCCTCGCATCATCGTGTTCAGTGTCTCACCACATGTCTCGCCCACATTCTTCGAATTTGAAAGGCACATCTTCTCCTATTCATGGTACGACCAAGCCATATTGTTCTTTCTCCGAGATAATTGGACAATCTAAATATGGCAGGGAATTCTAGATGGATGGTCATCTAGGAGAACCAACTTGTTGAGTATCCCTGTGTATGCCTGAGCACGCGCCCCCCTGGCTCTGAGACAACGTACCTCGAACGTTATTTCGAAATCGACTGCATACACGAGGCTGCGGTGGTCACACGGTATCATGCTCGAAATCATCAGAGAGATCGCTGGGTGCCTGAATTATCATCTCCCTCGCCCATGCAGCCAGTTTAGAATTTATGAAGTCGACGGTGGGCTGTGACAGGTATGATAAACGATCTTCCATTAAACATTGGCAATATCATAAGACTCTCATTTCTCTCAGTTGGGAGAGTGATGTCGATTATCCGACGAATTAAGCGGAATGGCATTGTCACATGATTATATTTATCGTATCATTATTTACAGATCAACAAACTCACCTCTAAGTGCTTGTCCCTTCTTCAGACAATCAAGATAGTCGCTCACTTTTGCCGACAACACCCCAATTTCATAGCCGAAGAACTTGTACGCAGCCTTGCCCGGCAGACTGTGGCCGAACCGACGAACAGAGATTCCCGCATCGGCGTACCGCTCCCATCCATTGGGAGCGTAAGGTTCTATCACGACAGCAGGGATATCTTGATGCCTCCGCAGAACCTCCCTCTTATATTCAACAGACTGTTGCTCGAACAGTCGCTGACACGGAAAACTGATGACCCGCGCCACAGTCCCCTGAGTATCCTTCAAGTGCTTAGCAACCTCCAGTGCAAAGGATAGCTCGGCTCCCACTCCGATCAGCGTCACGACCGCATCTTCGGCTTCTTCAAGGACATATGCACCACGTGCAACGCCATCACGACGGGTCTGCTTCAGTTGCGGGATGGCATGGCGCGAAGTGGAAATGATTGTGGAGGTCTTCTTGGCCTCAATTGCTGCAATCCATGCGCCAGCTGTCTCTTCGCTGTCACCGGGGCGGATGTACAGAAGATTGGGCATAGCGCGGTACAGAGCTGCGAGTTCTATGGGCTGATGTGTAGGGCCGTCTTCACCCATGCCGATCGAGTCATGAGTCGCCGCATGGATGACCTGAAGATGCTGAAGGGCACCCATTCGAACGGCAGGTGCAGCATAGAGGTAGAACATGAAGAATGATGAGGTGATGGGGACAAAAGTGTTGGGAGCAAAGGCGGCCATGCCATTGGAAATGGCACACATCGCATGCTCACGAACACCATAGTGGATATACCGACCGGAGTAGTTTCCATTGATGCCGCATGTGGTTTTCAAATCGGGCTAAGAATGGTCAGTGTGGTGGGTCGATATGCTTGAACGGATTCTACTCACGTGTTGGAAATCTACTTTCCCTGGCCAGATCATGTTCACCGATGGGGAGAGATCGGCAGTTCCGACCATGAAGTTCTCAATCTCTTTAGCAATTGGATTAAAGACCAAACCAGAAGACGCTCTTGAGGCCGTGGGCTTCTCTGGAAATTCGGAAGGAATAAGGTCCTTCCAATTGGAAGGAAGGTCTCCGCGCATACGGCGGTGGAACTCTGCTCCCAGCTCGGGGTACTTTGCGCTATATTGCTTGACCAGAGAGTTCCAGTCTCGAACGAGTGCTTCTCCCCGAGAAGGAAGATCATGGAAGAAAGTACGGACTTCGTCACCAATGACAAATGTCTCGTCAGGGTTGAATCCATAGGCCCTCTTCATATCGGCAACGTCAGGAGATCCAAAGGCCGCACCATGGGCGGCCGCCATGCCTGCGACCTTGCTGCCCAGACCAATCACTGTTCGCACGTTGATGAACGTTGGCTTCTCTTGAGATGTACGAGCACGTTCCAGTGCCTGAACGAGGCCCTCGATATCATAGCAGCCGTCCTCGATGTCGATCACATTCCAACCACAAGCACGCATTTTGGCATTGACATCCTCCGTGTTGGTCAAGTCGACGGAACCATCGCAGGTAATCTGGTTGTTGTCGTAGACGACAGTCAGGTTGTTGAGCTTGAGGTGTCCAGCGAAGGAAATGGCCTCGAGTCCGACACCCTCCTGGAGGCACGCATCGCCAATCATGCACCAAGTATGATTCGAGACGACGTCGTAGCCAGGTCGGTTGAATCTGGCAGCAAGATTCTTGGTAGCCATGGCGAGTCCAACAGCATTGGCGATACCCTGGCCTAGAGGCCCTGTTGTAACCTCGATACCTTCGTGCTCGATTTCGGGGTGGCCTGGGCACAGTGCGTCAACGCGGTCGGAATGGTACGACTTTAGCTGGTCAAAAGTCATATCCTTGTATCCAGTCAAGTGCAAGAATGTGTACTGAAACAGGCAGGTGTGGCCGTTGGAGAGAACGAAACGATCGCGGTTGAAGTAATCGGGAGTATGGGGGGCATATCGCATGACATATCGCCAAAGCGCGACTCCAATGGCAGCCATGCCAATCGCACCTCTACTCTAGTCAGCTGCTTTGCTCAACTTTCTCTCACACGGTCAAATATCTTACCCAGGATGGCCTCCACCAAACTGCTGACACAAATCAGCAATGAGTAGGCGAAAGGTCTTCAAGACTTGGTCATGATCCTTGGATAGCTGGCGCACTAGCGGCAAAGCCGATGCGCCATTGACAAGTGAGTGGTCGAGACCGACAGCCATCGTGACAAGTTTGTTATTGTTGAAAATCCATTGCAAAAGGGAGGCAGGGGGCTCTTTATAACACTCGAATAACTAATAACGGTCTGGGGGAGCGTGGGGAAAGACATCATGAAACGCGGTTTTGCTTTCTCAACTGGGAGACGACCAGACTTGTTGTACAGTACAGATTATGAGTGATGGATGGGTGGATGGATGGATGGATCCATGCATGATAACTGAGACTTATCCATTACGGCAGTTATATGCACATTGCCCGATCGGGTAGGTGGTAGCGCCGATAACTCAGCGGGGAAAGTCGAGCCTCCCCCCGCTTAAAGACGCGGGCACTGCGGGGTTGATCTTCCCTGGTCAAAACCACCACAACATCCACGGCTATCTGTGGCTCGGATTGCCTTGCTGTACTCTGTACTTTCCGATCTTCTGCTTTGAAGGAGGCCACCGCCTCTTTCTTCTCCAACAATGAGTCTAATAAAATCCCCCAGGGCCCTTCAGAGGGCGCATTGAAGTGAGTTCGACAGCCTCATCATTCTTATCACTATGTCTCCGTCTTTCCAGATTCCCCAGCCCACGCCCTCGGTTGCTCCAGGCACTAAATCGGCGAGGGCGGGTCCAGCGCTGCTCTCTCCACCATTCCCGAATCCGTCTCTTCAGGTGACTGCGGATCACAAGTTGAAATACGTCCCAGCGCCTGTTCATGCCCCACAACGAGGCGAAGTTCTCCTGCATATAAAAGCCACCGGCATCTGTGGGTACGCATATGGAGCTGTTAATAGAGATTCCTGTGCTCTCTGACGGATCATATTCAGATCAGATATACATTTTTGGAAAACAGGTAGAATCGGAGAATTGGTATTTGAAGGTGACTGCGTGATCGGCCATGAAGCGGCGGGAGTCGTCTTGAAGTGTGGAGAGGGTGTCACAGACTTCAGGCCCGGTGAGTAATCTCAAAGCCTATGCAAGTCGCATAACATGAATAGCGAGCCGGGGTACTGATCCAATTGTCTGTTTAGGTGATCGAGTAGCAGTAGAACCAGGCGTTCCGTGCGAAAATTGCTTCCTCTGCGACGACGGCCGTTACAACCTCTGCGAAGATGTTCACTTTGCAGGTGTCTACCCCTATGCCGGGACTCTCCAGCGTTATAAAGTGCATCCTGCCAAATGGCTCCACAAGTACGTTCTCCTTGACTTTCTTGAGAGCTGGTATCTAAGACAGAGTATAGACTTCCGGACAACATTTCGTACGCTGAAGGTGCTCTGCTAGAGCCACTTTCCGTCGTCATGCGGGGAATCCAAGTGGCCCGTCTCCAACTAGGTCGTGGAGTAGTTGTCTGTGGCGCTGGCCCCATTGGGCTGATTGCGCTCGCTGCAGCTCGTGCTTCTGGGGCCCATCCTATTGTCATCACGGATATTGAGCCCAAGCGACTCGCATTCGCCAAAGAATTTGTCCCCAGCTGCATCACATACCAGGTGAATGGCTCATTGGGTGCGGAGGGTAATGCCAAGGCAATCAGAGCATTGTTCGGGACGAGGGAGTATAACGCTCCCGAGACAGTCCTTGAATGCACCGGAGTAGAGAGCAGCGTCTGTACGGCGGCGTTTACAGCCCGCAGAGGCGGCGCTGTGGTCGTCATTGGGGTGGGAAAATCGGTCATGAACAATCTTCCGTTTATGCATATCTCCTTAGCCGAAGTCAGTATACGAGCCCAGTTCTTCCTTCTTCGTACCGTGGCTAACAAATGACGACTGGATAGATCGACCTGCGATTCATCAATCGTTATCGCGATACCTGGCCTCCTGCTATTGCCTGTCTCAGTGGAGGAATCCTTGACCTGAAAAAGCTTGTGTCGCATACATTCCCATTGGAGAGAGCGGTGGAGGCACTTGAGTTATGTGCTGATCCGCGCAACGGCAGTATCAAGGTCACCGTTCTGGATGAGGTAGAGGCAACCCTCTAGACCCGATGAGATGAATATGGATTCTATTTTCACAACTTATTAAGACAACCTGCGATAATATTGAGTAGTGGAGGCACCATGAGCACGATGTGAGCTTCGGATGCACGATCCTGCGGCCGCGTATCATAATGTACAGCTGTTCAGTACGGGCCGAGAAGATAAGTCAGTGGCATTTAAGTAAGTTCAGCCGCCATTGTGATTGTGTCACATGGGATGAGCATCGAGGTCTACTTTATCCATAATTTCAGGCGCGTCAGTTACAGTCTAATCAAATGGTGGTAATATCGACTGACCTGTGTGATATGCAGTTCGTTGTTCCAAAAAGAAAGCTTGAAAGTGGCATACATTGTCTCTTGAGGTGATCAGCAATAAAGCCTTAGGGCACAAGCGATTGTTCACATCGCGGGTAGATAATCAGCCCTTAGAGCTGCCGCAGAGGAAGACAATGCTCTTTGTTCAAAGCTATCAGACCCGGTTGGAGAGGTTACTTTGGCACCAGGCGAAGAGACAGCCAGCATAAACAAAGAATATCACCAATCAGCAGTAATGCTCCGGCTATTTGAGTTAATCTTGCTGAGAGACCTACGACAAGAGGAATCCTCTTGAGGTAATTCAGAGTACTTAAAGTGAGTGCACCGTGGCCTATCTCCAATTCCCAGCGTCAAATGTCATTCTTGTTTATGTACTCCTGAAGCTCTTCTATCTCTATTTCCTCGCCTCTTTCCCGCCCATCAAGTTCCAAAAAGCCAGCCATGTCTCCTGTCAATCTGGGGTCGATGCCAACCAAGCATTTCCCGCACATTACGAGATACCTGGACGAGGCGACCTTTCTCTCTCTCCGTCAGGTCTCTCGGAGAATGCACTACTTGGTGGAGCCTATGACGGAGGCGATCTTCGCGCGGTATCTCGAGACCGTCGAGACGAACCTCTCGTACCACAGCCTCCTGCGCATCCACTGCGATCTGGCCCGGCCGAGGGGCAACCCGCTGGCGGCGCTGGTCAAAAGACTGGTGATTCGGTACCCGTACACGGGGCCTAACTCCCCGTTCAACAGGCTAGCGCTATCCAGCGAGATCGAGGACCCGCTCGCCCTGCCGGAATTGTGGGCGCTGCGCTGCGATCTCGTCACCGCGTTCACCGAGTGCCGGGACTTCGAGTTCCACCTGGACGAGCCCGCCGACTGGCCCGTAGACTGCATTCACGCCGGCGACGTGGTGCGCGTTATGTTCACTATCTTCAACGATGCCGGGATCCCCCTCGAGCGTCTCAAGATACACACCTCGTTGCGCTCCGCTCCATTCCTGGAGCAGCTCACCACGACCCCGTACCAGGTCCTCCAGCTCCCCAACTGGACCGTCCCCGCGCTGTACCCCGAGGTGCTGCGCAGCCTGCGCGTGCTTTACCTGCACGACGACTACTTCCGGGAATACCGCGGTACGTCCATCGTCTGGGAGCTGCTGGAGGGCACCCCGGCGCTAGAGGAGCTGCGCATCGTTGGCAGAGGCCGCGAGCATCCCACAGGGAACACCCTCGAGGCTCTATCGACGGCGCGGCTGGCCTCCGCGCGGATCCGGGTGTTCTCCGTCCGGAAGATCGAGTCCACGGCCGAGATTCTGCGGACGTGTATCCGGAAGATGGCCGTGCGGGGTCTGGAGATTCTGGAGCTGAGGGATGTGACGTTGACTACGAGGGAGACGGGGGAGTCGTGGGAAGAGGTCTTGCAGAGCGTGTGGCGGATGTGTGTCGATCTGACGCGCATCAATTTCAGGAACCTCGGCGCTCGAGACGAGAGGACGGGGGTTGTCAGGCGGCTGCTGCAGACTGGGTGTCGTTTGACAGTCTCAGTAAGGCAGATGGTCTTGGAGCAATTGGTCGAGAAGGCGAGGAGGATGAGAATGGGTGGCGCCGTCCAATGACTGCGGCTTGTCCTGGAGACATGCTCGGGAACGGAGAGGTGGGTTGTGCTGCTGCAACGGAAGCAAATCATACACAACTTCAGACCCTACTTGCGTGTACAGTTGCTATATGTGTGTAAGTGTACATACATAACCTCAAAGATCACCTGTAATACTCGGCAGTAATAATTGTATCACATTCCTCATCGATACCCACCATATATATATATCTATAAAGAAACCACATGGCCACGCTGACTAACGCTGGCTGTTGTGTGACCAAATCCACCACAATTCTGATTTCATTTCGGTCCTAACTTAAGTTCCTTTCCCACAAATCTCTCTCTACTACTTTTGGCGAGAAAAATAAAAACGAAGATGATATCACCCCTTCTCTCACTATTCTTTTTACTTCTCCTCCTCTACGAGTGATCAGACTACATCTACATCTACAGTAGACACAGAGGGGAAAGACTCCAACCAAGCTCACTCACTTCATTCACTAGCCAGACAACCGAAATAACACCACACAAGAAGCCAAAATTGCAAGATCAAGAGTCAACAACCAGAATCTCAAGAATACATTAGCAACGCAACACTGGCAAATCAAAAAAAGTCATGTCCCAAAGAAAACCAATCCAAGACGATGCCAAACATATGGCAGTCACCAAACATGCTGAACACCAAACGCGGCAGATGAACATCGACATGGCTGGGCAGGACGATACAAGTGATAGAGCTATAACAAAACAAAAGTGAATGAAAGAGGAACTCCACTGAAACACCGTTGCGTGCAGGCAGGCAAGCAGACAGAGGCGACACAGACTCGATCGCGCTTAGTCAGATGCAGGTGGGTTGGCATCACTCTGCTGAGCCGAGTCCTGAGATGAAGAGGGGGTAGCAGGGGCAGCTGGCTCGCTGGCGGTCTCTTCAGTCGCTGGTTGTTCGGATGCAGGAAGTTCGCTTGCTGGCTGTTCGACAGCTGGTTGTTCGGCAGCTAGTTGTTCGGGTGCTGGCTGTTTGGCTGGGGATTCATTGGCTTTGCTCCCATCGACTACTAGTACTGTATGCCCGTTGGGAGGGTGCCTGTTGGCTGTGCTCCCATTGACCACTAGTACCATATGCCCGTTGACATTTTGCCCGTTGACTGTCCCATTGGCTGTGTGCGTGTTGGCTGTGTACCCGTCGGCTGGGTATCTGTTGGCTGGGTGTCTGTAGCCTGGGTACGTGTTGGCTATGTGCGTGTTGGCTGGGTGCCCATAGGCTGTGTACCCATTGACTGGAGGCCCGTTGACTGGAGGCCCATTGACTGAAGGCCTATTGACTGGAGGCCTATTGACTGAAGGCCGATTGTGAGGCTACAAAGGTAGATGAACTTAACCAGGCAAGAATTCCATTCTTGGAGTAAAAAGGAAGGAGAAGGGCTGTCATCTGACGGGCTAAGGAGCCCGACACCCATTGACTACTAGAGGTCTTCAGCAGCGTTGGACCTTCCCAGTTTCCCATGCAGTAAAGATACTCTACTATCTATACGCCAATACTCCACTAAGACAATTGATACTAAGACAATTGATTGGTTGCGAGCTAGACTATTCTAATTTGAAAGACGCACGGTTCGACCCTGCCTCTCGTCACGTGCAAGTTATGCCGGCAATTTGGGAACTGGGCAACTGGGCATGCCTAGTTCTGCTGAAGACCTCTACTGTAAGTCCATAGACTATGAGCTCTGGATGGAGACCTATGTGATCCAGAACAGATATCAATATCGATGAACGGATGAAAGGGTCGAGCTTGTCACATTATTGAAGCGAAGCAAGATAAACCCAACGAACGAAACCAGATAGGAGGAATATTGTTTGTTTGAAAAGCAAAGGAATGAAGCTACGCACCTTCTCCCCTGGCCTCTTCAAGTCGCAGAACCATACCATGCAGGACTATCGGCTGGTAATTCGCCTGGACGTCTGTCAAGATCTGTTGTGCTTGCTGGACAGTCTGCATGCAAGCCACCCAAAGTTAGTAATGTGACTCTGACTCCTGTTATGCAAACCTAAAATAGGCCGATAGCTGATTTGACTCTCTAGAAAGGACCAGAAACTTACTTGGAAGGTGACGAATGCGACATATTGGCCACCTGGGTTGCCGTTGGGGTGCTTCTTGTAATTGACGATCTTCACCCAGCAATCGACTGGCCACCGTTTCCTGAAAGTCGCCTTGAGGTCTGCGAACAACTTAGATGGGAGAATCCCATTTCTCAGGCTGGATTTCGAGAGAGGTTAGTATGGCTGATCTTCCTTGAAAAGATGGAAGTGACAGCTGCAGCAAGAAAACAGAATGAAGATGACGGTGATGGTGATGGTGGTGGTGGTAATGGGGATAGCAGCACTTACTTGCCAACCAAGAGGGTGCTTCCTCTTGGGCAAAAGTACTGCGCGTTCTCGTCGGTAAGCACATGTTGTTGTTGAGGTAGTGGTGGTGAATAAAATGAGGGTTGCTGATAGCCGCCAACCATAGGCGGCTGAGCATACGGCAATACTGCAGGGCCAAACATTTGAGGTGGTGCATGCCACTGCTGCTGCATAGCAGGATGATATGGCCCAGCGTAGTGCTGACCAGCATTAACATATGGCCCTTGTCCACCATAGTGCTGCAGATCAGCCAGGTGATAAGGAGGAGGCATGGCCATGGAGGATGAATAAAGCTTGTGTGAAGCGATGGTTATCGAAGGTGAGAGGGGGGATATCAGCTGGAAGGAGAAGCTAAGTTTCGTGGACAGCGAGACGTTGGAGTGATAGCTACGAACAAGAAGCGTGGCACGAAGTTGGTGGAAGAAGGAAGCAGCGGGCGAGGGTGATGTTCTTTTATGCATCAGCTATGCTTTCAGTGTGAGGTAGGCAGCCCTGAAGAAACTTCCGCTGAGTCGATGTCTAACTTCGCCAGGGCAGATAGATTTGTGAGTGTACACTCTCCTAGATAGTTTGAATTCGTCACTCTGGAAGGCAACGGTACTAGGTCGAATCGCACGACCCACGGAGCGTCTACGCCTGTGAGGTAAGAGCACGGGAATCTATGAGAAGAGTATGGTATCCAGCTTCGAAGTGACATTCTATCAATCATCCTAACTAGGGCTATACGGGCCCTAGGAAAATGAAACCACTTCGAGAGAGACACCTGAAGATCTGCCTTCGATCATGAAGTCTCTCATCAGTCAAATATCTTTGGTTACGTCTCTCGTCTCAAGAGGAAAGCGACAAAGCAACAAGAAGCAGCATCGCGATGCATCTTCTCTCTCTTCTGAGCCTGCCCATGGTACGGTTGCTGCTTGAGAGTTCAGTTCAAAGCGCCCTACAGGAGGTGATGGCATCGCAGTATCGAATCCACCAATCAGAATGAGCTCGGATATACAGTTCCAGGGACAAGAACAGCGAACGCTGATTGCTGAAGAGCACTCGAAATGCTGTGGCGACAGAAGAATTACGCAGTCTGATCTCTGAGTCAAGCGAATTAGACGTGATGCGGAACAATGTTCCATCGCCTTGCTTGTGGATGAGCAGAGTTTCGAACTTGCACACCAGGCCCTTGAGAGATTGTACTGGGTTGGATCAAAATCTCACAGTTCGCTAGGCAAGAGAGTCGACAAGGGAGCCAATTCAAGACCGGAATCGTGATGCAGAATCGGATTCCCTGGACCAGCCGCCACTGACAACTTGTTTCTATCACTGAGGATCTGAGAATGAGAGAGGGTGATGTAAATTCTCGGTCATTGAGTGGCATTGCTTTACCAATAGGCCTGATTCCACGGGGCTGTTGCAAGGTTGCCTGCAAAAACGCTGGCAAAGATGTTTGTGACGATACTCGGAAACATACTTGAACACACGCCTGTAACGATGTTCGAGAAGACAGCCAAACAGAACTATGAAGTGTTTATCATGGAAACAATCATGTAGAGAACTAGTCATTGACTTAGTTGATCAAGAAGAGAGTTGGCATTTATTGCAGAGATAGTCTACAGGGCTCTTCGTAGGCACCTTCCTTCTTTTCTACGTCCATCATCCATCATCCATCATCCACCAGCAGCACAGGCATTTCGCAACCCCGCTGTCCTGCGATGTAGTCCGGCCAGCGCGATCTAATTCTGTCGTTGTCGAAATTGAGGGTCTCGAACCCCTGAACCAAAAATGGGGACGTGGCGCTAGAATCAGGGACGCAGTGGAGGGAGTCCCACCAGTCAGAGCAGCAAACCCACTCCCTGCCAAGCCTATCTTCCAACACTAACTTTGTATATGACTCGTATATAACTTCGCGTATTCCCTTTTGAAACGCATGAACATATTTCTCCTGCTCCCACCCCCCCGAGTGTCGTTCTTTATCACCTATCCCTCCCTCCCTCCCTCCCTCGTTCATTTCCTCACCACAGTCCCTCATTTCCCGCCACCATCTGCAACAAACAACAGTAAACAATCATGAAGCTCCTCACCACCACCCTCTCGCTCTTCCTAGGCCTCACCCTCGTCGCCGCCAAAACAGACATCGGACCCCCCTGCACCTCCTCCACCACCTACGTGGGCGGCGTCTTCACCCGAATCTTCTACATCCCCGACACCGGCGAACTCTGCGAGCTCATCGACTGCGGCGGCGGTCGCGCGCCTCCCAAAACCACCGTCCCAGGGTGTCCACTCTACTCAGGTACAGAGCCCGTGCCGACGCATTATCTCCCCGGCTGGGGTCCAAACGGCCGCCTGATCGAGACCACGACCACGACTACCTCCGCTGCTGCTGGCGCTGAGGCTACAAGCGGGACCAGTGCGATCACGGCTACTGCAGGTGGTGGTGGTAGTGTGTACGCTTCTGTGTCTGCATCTGCGTCTACTGATACTTCTTCTTCTTCTTCGTCGTCGTCGTCGGCTACTGCCTCCGACACTGCAGCGGCTCAGATAACCGGCTCTACGGCCAGCGACTCCGCACGCGACTCGGCCTCGACCGCGCTGACTTCGAGTTCCGGTGCCACGGGTTCTGCGGCTGCTGCCGCGAATGCTACCACTACTGGGGTGGTGAGGGGGAACGATGCGGCGGCTGGGTTCCGGGTGCGGAGTGCGGGGGTGGCGGGGATAGTTGGGGCTCTTGTTCTTGTGGGGGGTGTGATGCTTTGAGATTCGAGGGCGGTGGCTGGTATGTTTTGTTATATGAGTAAATGTTGTTAGTATAGTTTTCTATCTCGGTGGAGGGTGTTATGGAGGGGCCATGTTCTACGGGATGTGCTCACGTCGCCTCAGCTCAGCTCATGGGTCGATTGAGTTCGGCGATCTGGATCCAGTCAATCGTGAGTCGTGGGTTTCCTGCCACTGTACGAGCCCTTGCCCATGGCCCTTGGTCCAGGTGATCAAGTTAACCGTAGATCTCTGTTGCGGGTAGGGGATTCACTTCATAATAGAGCTTGGAGGTTCAGTGGGTTTGCTCGAGATCTTATCACTTGGAATGCGATTTGCCTTGACGTCAACGCTGGAGTGATAGGGTATCATAGTGGGCTCAAGACCCACTGAGAAGCTACTGCATACTTGAGAAGCTACTGTATTTCAGATGGGTTTGATAGGCTTTGATAGTGATCAGGGATATTTGACATATCTCTGTGATCAGAATGTCATACTAAGGGTTGCTTATGTGAACTAGTGCACGTGCACATACGTGTTCAACCTCCCGGCGCGACATCTGTACAGTGCAGTGCAGGTCGAAGTCTGCGCTGGGTCTGGGCTGATACCCCGCGTTCGGATCCAAATGTTTGCTTCAGCAGAGTGTGCTGGGCAGCAAGCAGTGAGGGGTACTTTCATCACGACTGTCGAGAAAGAATTCAACTCTTGTGAATATGAATATAATGTATTAGGAGCTAATGAACAAGAGCTGTGGATCTCCCTAATTATAACCCTAAACCTCACGATATGTCCTACCTACTTTAGGCCGCATTAAAATATATTATATATGTATAAAACATGGCTCATCCTCGTCCATCAAATCCAGACGCAAACATCAGTGCTGATGCTCCACAACCTTTCCTACCATTGATTATGTCCTCTTATGCGGACTTGAGAAAGAGGCCAGAGCATTCAAGGACTCCGACAAAGGCCACAGTGCATAGTAGAACCCCACCGCGCCCCCGACGAGCAGGACATAGTAGGCAATCGTCCAGCCCATGCCCAACTGCCCATATCCCGTCTCATCCGAGCTGCCACCCTTCCCCTTGGCCAATGGGGGCCCGATGGGTACGCCTGCCTCGACACGCCCCCACAACCGGGGCAGTCCGCACCAGTTGCAGAAGGTATGCGCGAGAATGACCGCGGGGAGCGAACCGGTGCGCAGGTAGAGGAAAGTGGCATACCATCCGAAGATGGTGGTGTAGCCGAACTGGAAGATGGAGCGCAGTAACGCTGCGACCACCGAGGTGTCGGGATGCGTGAGGCGGAACTCGTAGAAGTGGTGCACGTGCGCAATGCCAAAGTACAAGGGTGCTACGAAGACAATGTGGCCCGAAGACACCTTGGCCAGCAGATGCAGCGGGACAATCGCTGAGCGGAACATGATTTCCTCGGTGATTGGGCCCTGTAATTTTTGTTTTATGAATGATTAGCCACGCTGTTGGGCGTTTCGAATTACAGCTCAAACCTACCGCCACGTAGTTTCTCCAGCCGATCCAGCTGCGCAGGGAAGCGCTGATCCGGCTACCCTGGATCCAGTCCCGCCATTCCCCCTCAGCGATGCCTCTTTCGAACAAAGGCCCCGCGAAGAGGATAGCTGTCAGCAGCAGGCTGCGGAAGACATCGGCGAAGCTGACGGGCCACCACCCCAGGAGTTTGAGGGCCTCCATCAGAGACCCGTCGTCTTTGCCGATGATCAGCCAGGCGACGATGAGAGTGCTCGCGATGCATGAGAGGGTCACGCTACGGATTCTCGCCCGGATCACTGACGGTGCATCGCGACTCAGAGTGGGAGACGGCCGGGTGGTGACATTCACGTAGAATGGAATCACGTAAAGAAGAGTCAGGAAGACCTGGAATCCACATCTTAGTCAAAGTTGACCATGCGATCTCATCGCTATCTGGATCGCTTACCGAGAAGAAAGCTGCTGCTGCCGTTGAGATAGCTGGTTCATCTGAACAAGGTTTTAGCACTGAGTCCGAAGAAGGATGTTGTGAAGAACCTACCGTAATCCTTGGAGTAAAGCATCCGGAGACGAGTGAGCAGGTTGATGGGGGCCATAATAAACCCGATCAGTGCTCGGATCGGAATGAGGAAAGTTTGATTGAAGATGGAACCCGAATCAACCACGATGTCAACAAGTCCTCATGAGATTATGAGTCCGGACAATCCTCAATCGCACAGACTGTTCGTCTGAGGGTAGAGTAAATAGGCGAACAATAGCCCGGAGAATGCAAGAGGGAAGATGAACAAAGGGAACGGAGGGAAACACGACGTCGGCTGTAAATGCCGAGTTTGACAGGCACCAAGGCATCAATGCAGGAGCCGGTCCAGACTATCACGTGACTGACATGGGGCCACATGTGTCAGTCACATGATAAATGTCGTCATTGGAAGCAATTAAGCCCACGTGATCGCGCGCGCCGTCTGCCTGCGAGGGTGGCGTCGCGGGGGGATCCTCTCGCGAGAAGCATCCCTCTTTCCTTGTCAAATACCTTACGGTGATTTAATCTGGTTGGTAAGGTCGGTCTCACGGCCTGATTCAGTTCTAATTGCTCTCGCGCCGTCCAAATGCTCAGCCGTTGCGCTTGACCCTCGCTCTAATCCGGGAATCGACCCGGCAGCATGGGTGTTCATGGACTGTGGACAGTCGTGCAGCCTTGCGCAAGGCCCATCAAGTTGGAAACGCTCAACAAGAAGCGTCTTGCAGTAGATGCATCTATCTGGATCTACCAGTTTTTGAAGGCCGTCCGCGACAAGGAGGGAAACGCTCTGCGCAACTCGCACATCGTTGGCTTCTTCCGCCGGATATGCAAGTTGCTGTACTTCGGGATCAAACCGGTGTTCGTCTTCGACGGCGGCGCTCCAATCCTCAAGCGACAGACTATCAATAATCGGAAGAAACGCCGGGAGGGCCGCCGCGAAGATGCAGTCCGAACGGCAGGGAAACTGCTGGCAGTGCAGTTGCAGAGATCGGCCGAAGAAGCGGCAGCAGCGAGCCGCCAGAAACGAGCCGCGGACCGGGATGAGGCAGTGCCAGATAACCCTGTGTATGTTGACGATGCCTTCATGACAGAAAAGGAAAAGAACCAGACGCGCTCCTTCAGGAAGAAGGATGCCTACCATTTACCCGACTTGCAAGTCTCCCTCGCGGAGATGGGAGCGCCCAACGATCCCCGCATCATGTCCCGAGAAGAACTCGAGGAGTATGCCCGGCAATTCCACCAGGGCGAGGATATCAATTTATATGATTTCTCCAAGATAGACTTCGATAGTCCCTTCTTCGTCAGCCTCCCGGCTACGGATCGGTACAATATCCTCAATGCGGCCCGACTCAGAAGTCGCCTGCGTATGGGTTACTCGAAGGAACAATTGGACACCATGTTTCCGGATCGTATGGCTTTTTCTAAGTTCCAGATCGAACGTGTCAAGGAAAGAAACGATCTTACGCAACGCTTAATGAATATCAACGGCATGAATGGGGAGGAGGCTTTCTACAAATCTGGGCAGAGAATAGCTGGGGAGAGAGGGAAGGAGTATGTCCTGGTCAAGGACAATACCATCGAGGGCGGCTGGGTCTTAGGTGTGGTGGGGAATAAGGAAGGCCAGGAGGACAGGCCAATCGATGTTGACGAGTATGGCCAGCATCAGGTGGTAGCCCCGAAGGAAGAGTTTTCAGATGATAGCGATGGCGGTTTTGAAGATGTCCCAATCGAAGGCCTCAACCGACTCCCTAAACTTCCTTTCCTGCGAGACGGCGCTTTCGACGAATCGATCATGAACCAGATGCGTGGTGATGTGGAGGGCAGAAGGCCCTCGGATATCGTGGACGATGACTCTTTATTCGTTCGCAACGACCCACGTACGAGCTTCCCAAGTAATGATTTCACTAACGGCGACGATATGTTTGATGATCTTGAAGATAATGACGAGGAGCTCCAGCGCGCTATACAAATGTCTCTGGAATCCCCGGCCCACGGTCAAGACGACAAAGACATGCCAGAAATCCAATTGAATCGGAGCGAAGTTTCCTTACCCCAGCCAAGGGATGAGCCCGCGGATCTCATGGATGAAAGTGAAGATGACTTTGACTTTGCGGCTGCTCTAGCTCAGTCTAAGAGGACACAAAAGACCGCCCCTACTACTCGTGTGGACAACCCATTCGACGGTCCTTTGCCTTTTGAGTCAATGCAGCTCATGAAGCCGAGCAAGGTCAATGAGCCACGAAAAGAGCAGGAAACCGAGAAAGACCAAGCTAAGGATGACAGGGAAGCGACAAAGCCCAAAAAGGAGGCTTTGCCTCTGCCACCGTGGTTTTCAGCGGCATCCCGTGATAATCATAATGCAGAGTTCATCGCCGACGAGGTTGAATCTCGACCAGGCAGGGAAACTCGTGATGAGAAGCACGACTCGGACGCACTTTTCGTACGGGATGAGGCAGCAAACCACAAATACGCTCATCGTGGACCTGCGGGCAGAAGAGAGGTCATAAATATTGATTCCGAGTCTGAAGGGGAAGAGAGCTTACCTATTCCGACGAATGCTCCGACGATACACACCACACTTACTACTGTGGAGGTGCCCGGCTCTGAGAAGTCTAGTGAACATTCTCCATCCGAGACGTACCCTAATGACGTTCCAAAGGAATCTGAACCAGTCAATGAACTTGAATCAACTTTATCCAATGGCGATGTAGCCAACACTACTGAAAACTCTAACATCACACGGTCCGAATCATCTCCCACTCCTGAGTTCGAGGATGTTGCCATACCGCATACTGGCATGCCTGACGATGCTATGCCTGTAGCGCAAGATGATTTTGAGGACGTCATGACAACACCTGGAGGCATAGCAGATAATACCAAGTTTGTCGTAGAAGATGCACCAGTTTTTGAGCTTGTCAACACCGGAGACAGCATCGAGCAGGAAGACTATTCCGACCCTGAAGACGAGGATCTAATGCAACAACTTGCAGCTGAAGGCGAAGAACATGTCCGGTTTGCTGCCGCACTGAATTCTGAGACGAACACCGCAAGTGCATTCGACTATGAGCAGGAGCTGAAGCAATTGCGGTTTCAGCAGAAGAAGGATCGCCGAGATGCCGATGAGGTGTCGCAAGTCATGATCACTGAGTGCCAGCAGCTGCTGTCGCTCTTTGGCTTGCCGTACATTACCGCGCCCATGGAAGCTGAGGCTCAGTGTGCGGAATTGGTTTCTTTAGGGCTCGTTGACGGCATCATCACTGATGATAGCGATTGCTTCCTATTCGGCGGCACACGGATATACAAGAATATGTTCAACCAGGGCAAGTTCGTCGAATGCTACTTGTCTTCCGATCTAGAGAAAGAATATGCCCTCCATCGCAACAAGCTGATCAGACTTGCACATCTATTGGGAAGCGATTATACGGAAGGTATCCCCGGAATTGGCCCTGTAACTGCATTGGAAATACTTACAGAATTTACCGATTTGGAAGAGTTCAACGAATGGTGGACACAAGTGCAGACGGGGGTCAGTATGAGTAACAGCGAGCATGCTGCCTTTTACAAACGGTTCAAGAAGCAAGCCACAAAGATATTTTTGCCGCCATCCTTCCCTGATCACCGGGTAGACATCGCTTACCTCGAGCCTGAGGTGGACTCCGACCCTTCACCTTTCCAGTGGGGCGTGCCTGACTTGCATGGTCTACGCAGCTTCTTGATGTCGACCGTTGGCTGGAGCCAAGAGCGGACCGATGAGATTCTTGTGCCTGTTATCCGTGACATGAATCGCAGAGAGCAAGAAGGCACCCAGTCAAATATCACCAGCTTCTTTACGGGACCCCAGGGTGCGGGCGCATTCGCTCCTCGTGTCCGTACCGGCGGCCAGAGTCGAATGGAGAAGGCCTTCCGTCGCCTTCAACAGCAGGCTGGGACCGCAGCAGCACCCCACCCCTCTGACGGGGAGACTGTTCCCACTGCTGATGTCTCGCCCGAGAACCAGCTCTCGTCTGCCAAAGAAGCGGGCACCAAACGGGGTGCGCGCAAAGCACGTGCTGTGGATCCGGAGCAGGTGGCTGATAAGGCTCAGACCACTAAGAAGAGGAAAACCCGCCGTGGGGCTAATTAGTGTGTAGCTCAATTCTGGGGAGGTGGTTAATCTTGTGGTTTGAAATGTATGAAGTTGTATATATTAGAGAAAGAAACGCGATTAATGCCTTGCTGCCTGGTGCTGCTACTTTTGGGGGCCCGGTACTTGTTGGGGGTTTGCAGCGTTTGCAACACTCCTTTCCCTTGTATACATCGACATCGATTTCTTCCCAAGTACAGTACATGGTCTCCCAGAAGGTGTGCTTCGATTCGACATCTGACTGAAATGATGCCTACCCTTGTTCTTCTTGCGCTCTTCTAATTATCAAGTATGTCGCCGTATCGGTCTCGACATCACACCATTACTATCTGCGATGATGCGATCCCGGGACAGCATTAAAGTTGAATGGCTGGCCTGCAGGTAATCTACGTGACCTCAGAAATGGTGCGAATGGCGTGCAGATTGAGGTAGCCGCGGCGGTATCCATGGTCCACCGCCGGCTCTACCCCTCCTCCTTCCCCTCCTGGTCCACGAGATCATTATATCAATGGAGGGGTCGACCACAGTTTAAACCCACCTGCCACTTACACCTTGAGAACCTATAGAATTATGGCAGCAGTCAAAGGTCCACAAGCCGTTCATACGGAACTACCGATATTGAATGGCCAGAATGGCGCTCTGCCAGCGAAGGAAGCTGTCACCCAAGCTGTCGAAACCACCAAGTCCGACGATCTCCAACGCCCAGCTTTCGAGATAGAAGAGCATCCAATTGATCAAGTCCGACCGATCAAGGTTGGCGTAATCGGCGCTGGTCTTGCTGGAATCACAGCAGGGATTCTTTTTCCAGCGAAGGTCCCGGGAGTCGATTTGCGGATCTATGAGAAGAATGCCGATGTGGTAAGTCACCTTTCCTACCAACGAATCCAGAAAGTTTAATAACGCCATCGGTAAACAGGGAGGTACATGGTAGGCTTTTCCAAAGGTCACTACTTCTCGATCTTTGTTGCTGATAGATTAGGTTCGAGAATACATATCCCGGGGTTCGTTGCGATATTCCCGCGCACGTATATCAGTCCGGCTTTTCTCCGAACACACAATGGACAGAGGAGTTTGCACAAGGAGCGGAGATCAGATCGTATTGGCAAGGGCTCGCTAGGAAATATGATGTCTACAAGTATCTGCGTCTGCAGCAGAAGATCGAGCGTGCGGTCTGGCAGCCCGAGAAGGGGAAATGGCTGGTGACAATCCAAGGTCTCAAGGACCAGCAGACACCTAGGGTATGCTCCAGCAACTTTCCATCGCAAAAAGCAGATTCTAATGCCGCTGGTAGCGCTACGAAGAAGAGCTCGACGTGCTGATCAACGCCATCGGTCACTTCAACGCGTGGAAGCTGCCCGACTACGAGGGCATCAACTCATACCAAGGCACCCTGTTCCACTCCTCAAACTGGAACCACGAGGTCGATCTACAGGGGAAGCGAGTTGCTCTGATCGGGAACGGAGCCTCAGGCCTGCAAGTCCTACCCTCCATCCAACCCATCGCACAACATGTAGACCACTATGCGCGCAATCGCACATGGGTTGCCGACTCCTTCGGCACGACAGGGGTTCGTCGCCTCGAACCCAACCTCTTCTCCGAAGAACAGCTGGAATCGTTCAAAGACCCAGACACCTATCTCCGATACCGCAAGAGCGTGGAAGAAGGCTACTTCTCCCGCTTCGGCGCAGTGTTCAAGAACACCCCCGAAAACCAGGAGCTCCGCGAGAAATGGACCAAGTTGATGCTCTCGCGCATTAGGAAGGACTCCACCCTGGCTGACAAGATCATCCCCGATTTCCCGCCCAACTGCCGGCGCCCCACGCCGGGACCAGGCTACCTCGAGGCCCTGGGCCAAGAGAACGTCAGCTACATCCAGACGCCCATCCAGCGGTTCACGCCGACGGGGATCGTCACCACCGACGGGGTCGAGCGGCCCGTGGATATCGTCATCTGCGCGACGGGTGCGAACGTGGACCACGCGCCCCCGTTCTCGATCATCGCCAACAACGTCGACCTGAAGGAAGCGTGGACGCACGACGGCCTGTACGGCTTCCCCTACAACTACCTGGGCATGGCCACCCCGGGGTTCCCGAACCTGCTGTGGATCGGCGGGCCCCATTCCACCGGCCAGGGGGGCAGCGTGCCGAACTGCCTGGAGAACCAGATCACGTACATCGCCAAGCTGCTGCGCAAGCTCCGCGCGCAGGGTATCAAGTCCCTGGCGCCGTCCAAGGCGGCGACGGACGACTTTGTCGAGTACTGCGATACCTTCTACCCGCGCACGGTGTGGACGGGCAACGACGACTCGACCCCCGGGCAGAAGAACTGTCGGTCGTGGTATAACGGCGGGCGGCCCGGGGGCCGCATTCATGGCCTGTTTCCCGGCAGCGCGTCGCATCTGAACTACCTGCGGCGGGATCCTCGGTGGGAGGATTGGGAGTACACCTATACCAATCCGAGTGGGAATCGGTTCGCGTACTTTGGGAATGGTTGGACGCAGAGGGAGCTCGAGAAGGGGGCCGATTTGACGCCGCATTTGAACAGGCCGGATACGATTGACTTGCGGACATATCTGGAGGGCTGGTGGGATGCTTAGGAGACTTGGGTTTAAGTTTGGGAGAATTTTATAGCTCAAAAAGTGGATAGAGATCTACAGGATATACGTGAACTCATCAAGTTTTTTGGCATAGATTTCATTCGGCTGTGGTGTGTAGATGGTTATGATAAGTCTCCTTCCTGGGAGGCGAATCCAAACAACAATTGAGGTTGACTTAGAAGAGTCTTAAATAGACACAATCACAGAAGATGGTAACATCTGCTTGGAGTCGGGATCGTGGCCACTGAAGATTCAGGATGGTTCTCCAAGTCTTTCTGAGCTATCCACCTTCCTGGTAATTTGGTGAGGCAGTGATGGTGGTGGATTGTGCTCGGGGCTAATGTGCGAGGTGTGATCCCATTATCATGAAAGAATTTCTAGGCAATGCGTCCTTTGTCGAACTCAAACAATGTTCGGGACATCTGTTGACCAAAAGAGCCACTTAAGCCGAGCTGACGACCAACAGCGGCAGACAAGTCGTTGCAGTGAAAGGACGGACGTTTGTCGAGGTTAACGAACGAGGTCAACGAACTTAGCTAGTAGTTCTTGTCTGGCATTCGATCTTCATAACTGGTTCAGCGCGTAACAACATTAATATTGCGCGAGCGACCATACGCGACCGCTTCATACAGGACATGTTCGCAATGCGCAACATTGAGGTATTTCAGTCGCGGCAAAACGTCGGAGGACGACAGCGCATCAGCGAACGTCCTGACCAGACGCCCGGTAACATCGGTAGCCGAGACGTCCAAAGCGTACAGGTGTGGCAGATGCCGGACCAGCGCCCTTACGCTCATGTCAGTGACGCCGCGCAGAGCACAGATCCCAAGCTCGGTCAGGTCTACGGGGTGTTCAGTGAGGATGCGCTCGAGCTGCGAATGGTCGAGCTTCGAGCAACTGGCCACGACGAGCTTCCGGATTGGCGCCTCGGCTGTGACGAGGAAGTTGTGGAGTGTGTCGTGAGTGACCCAGTTTAGGTCGCGGAGGATGAGGGTGTGCAGGTGTCGGAGGTGTGGAGACTGGTCGAAGGGGAAAGGAAACTCTTGGCCAACTGGGCAGGTTCCCGCTTGGATGCTGAGGTGCTCGAGGGTAGGGGGTAATGCGAAGTTCCCGATGAAGACGCCCTTGAGTTCTAATCTTCGTAGTTTGAGGAATTGGTTGGGGTCGAATGATAGCGTGTATGGTGACCAGATTCTGGGGTACGAGTCGATTCGGAGGTCTTCGAGGTTAGGCATTACGCAGGATTGCGACGCCTGTCAGTGTTAGCCTGGTTCAATGCTGGAGGGTAATCAAGAAGGAAGCATGCGGTTGTGCAATACATACCGTTGCAGCCGGCAGATAGAGAGCGGCTACGCGACCTGGTGGTGGCACGGCTGCTTCTTCAGTAGAGAGGGTAATGCTCCGTAGGTTTGGGAGATGTGAGGGCCAGCGCACTTTGGTCTCAGGTGAAGGCTGCGCATTATGAATTTCTAGGCGCTCGAGATTGGTGAGGCTCCCCAAGAAATTGGCGATGTTCTCTTGTGATACAGGTGTTCCTTTAGCGACGACGAGAGTCTTCAATTGTTTGCAGCTCTTAAACTGGTTGTATAACCCGTCATGGCGCTGGATAGGATCGCCAATCTCCAGGCTCTCCAGCTTGGGGCATCTACTGAAATATTCAAGCACCTTTTCATGAGAAGTAGTCGCTATATTGGTCACCATAGCATGGGTAAGCATGGTACGCGAGCGCTGAATGTATGTTCGAATGGAGCGCGATGATACTTTGCGACGGGCTTCGCTAAGATCAAGACGCATCCACAGATCTCGCATTGACAGGAACTGCTGCCATCCTTTGGACACGCGAGTACAAGTCCTGAGAGCGATGGCTATCAGTGATAACGACGATAAAGGCACAATTGGACTGCACTTACACAATTTCCCGGAAAGTCAGGTGTCGAAGGACCATCATGGCTACCTCGAGCGGCAGGACACTGAAAGGATCGAGTCGTTTGACTGAAGCCGCATCACGCACTTTGCAGTACATTTGGAGAACAAGCTAAACCAGTTCAGTACACATCATCCCCAGAAGCAGACCCCTTCTACGGCAGGATACTGACGTACCTTGCGACGCGGGTTATCACTGGACAGGGACTTTAGCCCGTAACCGTATGCTTTCAAGGCCTTGGCACGATCGCCAGTCAAGAGTAAGACTTGACCATAGCGTAGGATACCCTTCAGAGGCTCAGACTTAGCACCTTGTGGCAGCAATGTCAATGTGATACGAGGCAGAGCATACCCGTCCGTCCTTGGTGTCCTTGCGAACCATGTTTCGAGAATCGGCCAGAGCTCGGTCATACTGGGCAAGCTTGATGTATGTAGCTGCTCGGTTATCAAGTATGCTCATCACATCAGCCTTCTTACAAGAGAGAGCCTATGGAATATATCAGTCAGTTTCCTGACCTTATCAGCCGCTGAGGGCAAGCAAGTACCTCGGTGAACGCATCCAGAGCACCTTGATAGTTACCCTGCTTGAAGAGCAACTGTCCTCGCTGCTGCAGGGAGTCCCCTTCGCTGCGAATGACCGGTGCCATTATGGCCAGGCGTTTGAGACAACAACATATGAGAATAGAAGCCGAATTGGGGAAAAGTGAGAAAACGCGTGGACGACGCGCGCGATAAGGAAAGTGGATAACGAAACCGGGGCGAGATTGCTGGGCCCGATTACGTTAGTTGATTGAAATGGCTGAGGTAAGCGGGACTGCGGGTATGGCTGCTATTGCCGGCCGGAGACGCCAAACTGGGGCGGTGGGCCGATGGGCGCGGGCGGTGGGCGGTGGGCGGTGGGCGGTGTTTACATTCTTCCTGTTTTGGGGGGGTTCCGTCCGCGACAGAAAAATAACAGTCGGGCAAAAGAAAAGACGACGAATCGATTCAGCTTCATCCATAGCAGTTTTCTCTGCATAGGCACTTGCGTGCCACTAAGCTTGCTGGCAAGCCATGGAGCCACAGAATCTGCAGGCTGCATCCACCTACATCAACAATGTACTATTGGCAAGGGGTCTGTTGAAAAGCGGCCGCCCTATCGAATTCGCCAATCCCGAGGATGAAGATGGAGGCTCAGCAGCCACCATGGGCAGAATCATCAATTTGGTCAATGACTTGGTTCTGCGCAGAGATGTATGTGATTGGATTGGCTCTCGCCGATCGGCAATTGGCTGACAGTCCTCCAGCGCGAAGCTGAACACCGCGAGAGCCTCGCAACTACGATCAGGACTCTGCGAGCGGAGGAGTCTCAGAGAACTGCGGAACTGGTACGAGACATACGCTTAACAGCCCCTCGGATGTGCTCGATGCTAACGACTCGAAACAGGATAAGTTCAAGGAGAAGGCATCAGAACTCACCCGATCGTTGGCTTTGGCTGAAGCGCAAGAACGGTCCTTGAAGGCCACCATTTCAGGGGCTGAGGCGACGATCCGAGGACTCAAGGAACAAGTGCAACGAATGAGAGCCACTATCCAGCAAGTCAGAGCTCAATGCGCCAATGACATACGCAAGCGCGACTCAGAGATGCAGAAGCTCAAGATGCACCTGGCAGAACGACAACGAGGAAGGAGGGATGGACTGACGGTGACAACCATCAATATCAACTCAGCTACCGGCCAGCGTCCGCGACCTAGATCTATCGCAGGTGGCGAAGGTCTCAGCAATCCGGGTTATAGCCTGAAGCAAGAAACGAACGACTTCTTGACGGAACTCTGCCAGAATCTGAGCGACGAGAATGACACCCTTATCAACCTAGCACGAAACACAGTCGAGACTCTGAAAGACTTGCAGGGCTTGTCGTCTACAGAGGAGGAGGAAGGTTGTTTCACCGGCACGGTGAGCCGGGGAGCTCCCAGATTGTCTTATGGCTCGGTCACTAGTCATCCGGCCTCGTGCGACGAGCTATCCGCCCAGATGGACCGTGTACTCGATCATCTCCGAACGTTGCTCACCAATCCTTCATTTGTACCGCTTGAAGAGGTTGAAGTACGCGACGAAGAAATCAAACGTCTCCGCGAAGGCTGGGAGAAGATGGAGGGCAGATGGAGTCAGGCACTGACAATGATGGATGGTTGGCACAAGCGCATTGCTGATGGAGGACACTCAGTGCAGGCGGAAGAGCTTCGTCGCGGAATGAGTCTGAATTTCCGCTTGGATGCAACTCAGAGCCAAGCAGAAGAAGAGGATGATGATCATGAAGCAGCCATGCAGTCGCCTGTCCTTGAGGATCGACCGGCTAAGCAAGAAGAAAAAGAGGAGCAAAAAGCACAAGCCGTCTCCAGCAAAACTAATCGCGCCTTGTCTGATCGAAAAATTAAGGCTCCATCAGGTGAAATCAAGGTGAAGAAAAACAACAAAGCTTTGAAGGAGAAAAGCGACAATATCATGACAGGACGATCGCCTCGAAAGGTTTCATTCACGCCTGGGCTTCAAAACTCACCCAACACTGTCTCGCCCGCCGAAAATGATACCGTACCGGTAAAAGCTCACCGCTCCGAGATGGTGACGCGCAGGACAGCCAAGAAAAAGACCGAGTCTAAGGCTGCTTCTATTGATGTAAGTTAGACTATTACTTGCGATTATGAAGATCATTCTAACACACACAACCAGAGCTCCAATTCATCACGAATGAGTGTGCCACAAAAGCTAGCCGCAGTAGAGAACGAAGCTCGAGCTGCCGAGCAAACACGCAAAGAGACCGAGAGCCGCAAACGAGGACGGAATCTCAAGGGCTCTAGCAAAGCGCAGCGTGAGCGGCGCAGAAGTACACTTACCAGTGATGAACTCGGAGAGCTGATGGGAATGCCTTCGAGATGAGCTTACGGCTGACTAACAAATGTCCGATGATGATAACTGTTCGATACCCCTGTCTACTGTCTGAGTGTATATCAATCTTTGTTCACTTTTTTGGTGCGCGGCGCGCAAGCGCTGAGCCCTATACGAGGTCATGATTCTCAGGTGTCTTCTGAGCAGTATA